CACGTACTGGTATGTACAACTTCCAACTATTTTTTTTTCTCCAAAATTTGTTGTTTGCTGTTAAACCTTCTCAGTCTCTTTACTGGAAAGTGACTTGCAAGGGAGAGTGCAAGGTGTGAGATGAAATTGCTCGGTTCTCTGTTCATTGGCTGTGGTTTTTTTTGAAAGGCTTTTGAAGTAAAGCAGTGTCTGAGAGCATTAGGAAGTCTTGTATTTCTATCAGTGGTACTGCACAGTATTCAGAACTCCTTGTAACAGCAACTATTATGACTGTCACGCAGATGTTGTTCTATAGGCTTAGGGTCTGTTTTACTCCCTGGGCTGAAAACTGGATCAGAGTTGGAGAGGTTTGTCTGTCTGACCCCAAACTTGTGTGAAGTGTGTATGGAAGCTGTTCTGCAGCACCCTAGCTGTTCTATAATGTTTTGTAACTTTCCTTCTTAAAACTAGGAAGTGGAACCAAACTCTCCTGCTGCATTAGCTGGGCTCAGACCTCATAGTGATTACATCATTGGAGCAGATACTGTCATGAATGAGGTATATGTGTACATAAGTTTCTTCATGTTCATTTATTTTTATTCTTAATAGAAAATACACTAGGGCTGTTTCTATCAGTGCTAAGTGAAGTAACTTAATACAAAAAAGAAGTTCTGACTCACTGCTTCTTCACTGTGCTTAAATGCAACTATGGAAATTAAGAACTGCTCCTAAATATCTTTATGAAGGCAGATATTAGACTACAAAATGCTAATGTTAAGTAATTCAAACAGCAGATTTCAAATCTGAGGTTGTCCCATATGCCTTCTGAGTTGCGCTGGTGAAGCACAGCTGACGTTGGGATAAAACAGCAGCACCACGACTGCACTGTGTAGCAGTTACTAGATTGTTATGGAAAATTAAGACTAGGAAGCTGGTGTCATGTCAAATTATAATGACAACATGATAAATAAGGTCGTTATTATCCTTTTGCAGACTGAAGATCTCTTCTCCCTTATTGAAACACATGAAGCAAAGCCATTAAAACTTTATGTATATAACACAGACACAGATAACTGCCGGGAAGTGGTGATAACTCCAAATTCTGCCTGGGGTGGAGAAGGCAGGTAAGAGAAAAAGTACACTACTGGGAGCAAAGAGGGGTGGCATAACTTTCTTACAGCACTAGTCTAAAAGCTGCTTGCTTCAGTTCTTTGCAATACCCAAAAAAGACTTGCCTTATATCCAAGGGGTTTCTGCTGTAGTCAATTACGTATTTACTTCAAATTCAGTTTTAGTTAGTAATGCTTTCTGCATTAGAGTTCAAATACAACAGAGGCTGTAGTATATTCCTGCATTGTTGCACAGTACCCTGAACAGACAGCTGCAAACAACAGGTACGAGTTGAATTCCATAGTGATACAGCTGATACAACTGGTTGGTTTAAATAACAGTGAAACTTCTGTGCTAAATGTTTATTGCTGAAAGTCACAGAATTCCTGGTTCTGTTGTCTCATGGTGTTGTTTCTCCATAGCAGATACTTGGCCTTTTTTTCTGTAAACACAAATGATTGTACAGAGCTGATCTTGAAACTTGCTGCCACCTTGAGTCATTTGTTCATTGCTTCCTGTGGAGTCTTAATAATGAAGTCATTTTACTGACGTCTGTGTTCATATTTTAAAAGCCTAGGGTGTGGCATTGGCTATGGTTATTTGCATAGGATACCTACACGCCCATTTGAAGAGGGAAAGAAAATCTCTCTCCCAGGACAGCTGCCCAGTGCATCTCTCAGTCCTCTCAAAGATGGCTTTACAGAGGTAAGCTGTAGTCACCTCTTTGGTTCTGTAATTTGGATTATGGGATTCTGCTTTTATTGGCTCTTACAAAAACCAACCCTGATTATGTAACTTTCTTTTTTTCCTGCTGGAAAGGTTCAGCTGTCATCAGTTAACCCCTCACCGGCATTACCCCCTGGGCCAGCAGGACTCGAGCAGAGTCTGTCAGGACTTTCTATTAGCTCACCCTCGACTGCTGTCAGTAATGTTCTCAGTACAGGTCAGTATGGAAGTTACTCCTGAAATGCCCAGGTAGACTGACTGAAAAACTTATCGTGTTTCCATTGGTTTAAAAGAGGGCAGGAGGGAAAATAAACTTCTTTCTCTTTCCCAAACTTTTCTGAACAACAAAGGCTAGAGTGCTGTAATAATGTATTTCACACTGTCAGTGTGCTTTACTTGTTCAGAAGAGATTTGATAACTTCTGTCAGAAAGAAAATGTGTGTTATTCTATTTTTATCGTATACTATTTTTCTTTGTGTTTCATGGTTACTTAAGGCAAATAAAAAATCTCCTGTGAGCAATTACTCATTTGTACTCTCTTGAGGACTACAGTCACTGAAGTGTAGTACTCTTAAAATTGACATTTGTTTTCCTGTGTGCTCCAGCAGGAGTTCCGACAGTCCCGTTGTTACCACCACAGGTCAGTCAGTCCCTTACCTCCGTGCCACCAGTTAACCCAGCAACAACACTACCTGGTGAGTAGGTAACATGGCTTGAGACCTTCCTGAAACAAAAACTTAAAAGGAAAAAGGAAAAGGCCAGTCTCTTCCACTGTTTTTTTGGGGGTGGTTGGACCACAGCTTCACTGTGTAGGCATTTAATATCAAAACACTTTATGCATCCTCTGTAATGTTGAATTGTTTTTGAAGAGCCATGTGCACAGCATGTCTGTAGCACAGAGGGCTGAGCTGGAAAGAGAGCTGATAATCATTGACCCGTCAGGCCCCCGCACAATAGACAGACCATTGGGATTTCTCCAGGCGTTAGCTATGCAATTTGCTGTGGTCCTGGAGGTGGTACATTGTTACTTGTTACACTTCACACAATGTATGCTGCAAAATACTTTGGAAACTGTGAAGCTGCATGCCACTTTGTATTTTTCTCTCAGACATCAGGGTAGCAAAAAGATGCGGGAAGGCATTTCTTGCCTGTTGCTGCATTTCTTTCACCTCTTAAGACTCCATTTTAGTGGCCTTCTTTTTAATGCTTAGCTTGTTCTTCATATAACTAGATGGCTAAGAGCATACAGCTGCACCTTGTAGTTACTGTTCCTGAATTATTTAGTAACCTAAACCAGTAACACAAAAATAATGTCTGTCTAAAGAAGTATTGTGCATTATTTCTGATAACGACCAATGTATTGAGCACTGGTATGCCAGAAATACTTGTAGTGCAAATAAGGTTTGTCTGGGGTTTTGCCACGTTGTTGGTGCAGTAATACCGGACCCAGCTGTGCGTCCCAAAATGCTGAAGGAACTCTGTTTTGTTGTGCATGCTGTGAGACAAGTAGACTAACATTTGAAGTAATATTTGCAGGTATGCTCTGTAACATAGAAGGTTACAGGAAGTAGGAAAGCTGACTGCCAGCTTATAGGGAGGGAACTTCAGTCTTGTACTGTGTAGGTAAAAGGGCAGATCACTAAGTTTGGCTTCTGTTAATGGCTTTTCATTTCCTGTTGCATATAACTCCTTTCCCCAAACCTGAAAGTACAGATTTTTCATACACTTCGCCCTCTGAATAATGTGGTTGCCTTTTGGAAAATTACCACGATATTGCTTACAATTTGCATGTGCATAATAGTGAAATTGTCAGTCTTAAATAAATCAAGGTTTAAAGTTTGAGTGAATCTGTGTGAAGTTCCATATTTTTCAGATTAGGGATTGCAAAGAGTCAAAACAAACTGCTTATAACTGAACTGAAAGGTCTTTGACTTATATGATGTCAGCCTTTGTGGCTAATAAATTTCCAGGTAGGCCAGGAAGGCTGCTTTTAATCAAAATGTTTGTGCTGTGGTCTGCTTTTAGATGTTCTCCCTCTTCTCCCCATTGTTACTGTAGCATCAACAATTCAAGTCAGAGCTTGAATAGTCCCTGAACTAATCAAACCACAGAGTAGGAAGAGAGCCATTGTGCCAGAACTGCAGCTCTGCTAGGACAGGAAAATCGGAAGGGAAAAGATGTTCTGCAGCAAACACAATCACGGAAGGGCATCTGTTGTGTTTTGTGCATGTTTGTGTTGTATTTTCACCCCTTCCTAACTTTGAAAGTTGCTGTTTTGCCTTTTCTACATATTTTTGTGTTTTAGTTATAAAATGAGTACTAATATTAATTCTGACCTTTTAATGCTGTTTTCTTCTGAATTTCTATTATAATCTTTTATGCTCAGATTAAGAAAAGAGGGCTTCTGGTACAGTGTTGCAATCAGACAACTATCTTTGTCGAAAACCAAACTTTGGAAAAAACACCTGTTAATTTCTTGAAATAAGAAAAGCATTGGGATTTATGTATTTTACTGGTACAGGGTTCCTGCAGCAGGCAACTGTTCATTCACAACCTCATAGCTGAAACTCAGGATAACCTGCATTTTTGTATGTAAGAATGGTAAAATGTAAAGCAGAATCGTAAAATTTAACTAAAACCAGTAAGATCTCAGAAGCAGTCAGAGATAGGAAACAACAAGTTGTGAACTGTCATTTTTTCATTCTTCTCTCAGGTCTGATGCCATTGCCAGCGGGGCTCCCCAACCTGACTGATCTGTCCAAACTTAATTTGCCGGCACCGCACATCGTTCCGGAAATGGTACAGCCTGGTAAGTGCTCCTGCAAACTGAAATGCTGTAATAGCAGGTCTCTCCGTGACGATCTTTGATGCTCATTTGGAACCACCTGGTGGAGTCCTGAAGAGGATAAATGGAGCATTTGCTGGAAATGGGAGCTGACGTTACTGCCCAGATTGGGTGGGCAAGGAAGATGTTTGGAGAGAAAGGAGCGCTAAGCCGCTGTCTGTTTAGTTGTTTCATCTTGTGTTACACAATTTATGTTCTTCAAAGGGACTGTCCTGTGCCAAGGAAGAAAGTACATAGTTTTACAGGTAGAAAAAAGAGTGTTTCCTTGTTTAGCAAAGATCAAAGAACCTTGATTGGAAGCCAAAGGTTTCAACTAATATTACCTGTATGTTTTGAATCAAAGTGCTGAAGATGCATGTGGAGCAAGCAAAAAGAAGTTAGAAGCTTGCACAGAGTAAGTTCTCACTAGCTTCTTGTTGCTGGCCAGAAAAATCTAATAATCAGTATTAGTATTTTAGTCCCATCTCTCTCGAGGACTAGAAGCAAACTGGAGTTTGTTCTGATTTTTTGATTCTGAAATAAATGCATCAGCCTTTGAAACAAACTTGCTGAGTTCTCTCCAAGGATATACAGGGGATTAGAAAAAAGGAAAATGTTAAGCTAACACAGAATCTGTTTAGATTTGTGTGTGGTATGTAGCAGCTGACTGCCCTTTTTTTTTATTCTTAGGTATGCCAACCCTTCCTTCTTTGCCGCCTTTGAATCTAATGGGAATAACACCTCCATTAATGCCACCAAAATGCGTTCCTCTGCTTCCTTTGGTCACAGAGGTATCTACAGTGCCTACAGATTTGCTTCCCACCATGACTCAAGCTGGAAGCTTTTCTGTTGACCCTGGCACTGCTGTAAATGTAGAACAGACCTCTCCGCTCACCTTGGATAGTGCTACCCCAACTTCTAAGGCAGCTATTGTTGACAGATCGAGTGAATCCCCTGCTGTGAATGAGAAGGCATCCGGCATCACAGATACACATGCTTCTGAATCGTAACTCCAGATCACTCGGTATTTATTTAGCCATGGGATACATATTTGAAGAGCAAGCTATCATTAATTTCATACTAGTTTGTACTTAATCTTTAGCAGTCCTGTAAATAATATGGAGGTATAATAAAAATAAAGGGGATTTATAAAGTGAGCTTGGTGGGAGGGGAAGAAGAGTACTTGTACTTAACCAAAAAGAAAAACAAAAAACCAAACCCACAATAAAGAAACATTCAAGGTGGTAAATAGAATTCCACTGCCAAACTTGGACCTGTATGTTTTTAATAAAGGCTGATAGCCTTAGCTAGGCCTCTCCTTGCTTCTAAGTAGCAATTTTTGCTTCTCATAGAAATGAAGCAGTTCTTGCGTATGACATTGACATACCATAGTTCTTGACTTTGCAAGTATCTTGTTACTGCAGTGGGGATGAGGATGTTTGGTCTGAGTCATAAATTTTACCAGTGCAAACTTCCACCTGAAGATGTTTCTATTAGAATTGCTGAGTGACCTGTTAATTAACATGTCGGTATTCAGTTTGTATACAAATCTTATTTTTAAGCTCTTGAGAGAAGCTCAAGCCATGTTTTGTGACTGCTGCTGTGCTGCTTCACACCCCCACTGTAAAATGGCATTTGGAAGGGAATACAGGATATGTTACATGTAGCACACGATTTGGCACTTCATGACTACTGTAAGACAAATTAATGGATTAAGCAGACATACAGCAATAAATACCTGGAATTTCATCCTGTGTGAGAAAATAGCACATTTATTTGCTTAATGCTGTAAGTTTTCCTGGTTTAAGCTCAGCTCTCTAGTACAAACCAGTAAAAAGGCTCTTTTCCTGAGGAATGGATCCAAGAAGGAATGCCAGACTTCAGCATGCAGGCAGGGTCAGCAGTGGTTAGATCCGCTGTAGCAGCGAGTCACAAAAGCTGCCTGCAAGTGATTCATGTTTTTTTGAAACTGATGTTCAGGATTAGAGCAGATGAAACACTTTGTGTAACCTGGTACGTGTGCTGTACTCCAACGACAGCCTCAGCTCCTTCCACACTACTCCAGTCCTTCTGTACTACTGGAATTTCACTTATCCATGCTTCAACCATGGTCTGACTTCTAGCTGTCATCAGTTATCTGGAGCTTGTCTCCTTTTGGCAATGCAGTGTGCCTGATCACTCTTAAGAACAGTAGCTGCATTTGATTGCTGATCATAACGTTTCAAATTAGTTCAGGTGGAAGCCTTATCTAACACTTGTTGTCCCGTCTTACCTTTATTCCCTTAAGAATTTGTCTTTCCTCTGGCCCACCACTGCATGTTCCCTCATCACCTATTATCTATTTGGAGATCTGCTGTTAGAGACCCCAAATCCTTTTTCACATTGCTAGCAATTTATTTTCTCAACTGCATGGAATTTGAAGTCCCTCTGCCTTGGTAAATACACGGCTCAGAGCTTCTCAGAATGTATCTTTTGATTTATTTTGTAATTCCAGTATCATATATATCAGAATTAAACTTTGTAATAAGGATGTTCCCTCTTTTCTTTGCTGTATATAAAGAACGTCTGCTATTCCTGAGCTTCATAAAGCCTCACTGGCCTTACAGCCTTTCCTGGAACTTCTCTACACACTGTCCCAGTCAGAGCCCTTGACAAAGTTGCTTTCCTTCTCTAATCCAAGAGCAGCAGAAATACAGGTTTTGTCACATACCCAATGTAGAGCAATTGTTAACAGGATGCTGATCATAACCTAATGCCTTTTCTGTTAGTGTGGAATGATGTTCTTTGCAGTAATGCCTCAAGTTACCTGGCATGTTTTACGCTTTCCAACTGCAAGCTGTGGACTTCTGTAGTTGCGTAGATGTCTCCAGTAGCCAAAAAATAGAATAGAATGCTTAGGCTGAAATCATGCATTTCCGTTAGCTATATTAAGGTCTTTTCTTGACTGCTTTATATATCCATGTTGTGATGATTATGAGAGTAATGGAAGAAGGCATTGTTTCAGTGTAGCCAGAAGCAGTTCTGCTAAAGGTAACACAGCTTCAAATCTGGAAGCGATTCAGTGGTGCAGAAGTTCAGCTGTAATTTCCCAGCTAAAAAGCCATTAAAAAAAAAAAAAAAAAAAAAAAGTCAAAAACCAGGCACTTAAACAAGGACCTAAAGTCATACAATTGTACTCTGTCCTGGCTTTTCACATTTCCTTAGCTTGATTTAGTGAAACTGTACCTATATCACTTCTTGACAAGAGTTTTGCGATGACTTTTCTCCCCTTAGAACAGAGGGACTTTTACAGAGGTACTTAAGATACACTGAGGGACTGACAGCTAACCTAACCACATTTCCATGAATTTATGTATTCATCTGTTAATGAGCAATTAGGAATAGGCATATTAGCTTTATTTTAAACACCAACATATGGAATTCTTCCTGTGTGACAGAAGACAAAGCCACCATACTATGGGCAGCTTAAGCCCTGCATGTAAATCAGAATGAAGAATGTGCACGTGACTTACTGTAAGGTGAAGCATCCTATTCCACAAGAAGCTGCTCTGGGGCCAATGCTGTTCAGCGGTTGAGATGTTTGTTTCAAGTGCAGGGGCACAGCTACAGCTCTGCTTGAGTAATCACACGCACACGTAGAAGAGGTGCATTCTGCAGCTTGAGTCTCTGCTGCAGTGCCAGGAGATGGCTGCTGAGGCTACAAAAAGTCAGAGCACAAACATGGGTTAACAGTGATGAATGCTTCATAGCTTCAGCCTGGCCATACAATAGGCTCTTTTCTAGAATCCTGGCAGCCATTTTTTTAAGCAAACCCATCAAACATTAAACCTCATCGACACAGCTGGAGCTCCAGTGTATTTCTGAGAAATAGCTGTGTGGTGCCACGAGATGGCATGCAATAGTTCCTTTTGGCTGAATTCATAAGATCAGGCTTTGCAGTGATGATATTTCCTCTTGTTATTTTTTTCTCCAGCAGACGGTGTATTCGTTGCCAGCTGGCTGCTGTATGCTAGATAGTACCGTGAAGAATCACAGAGAGGTAACTGTGAAACAAACTGATTGAAGGCAGCAATGGGCTGAGCTTAGGCTATTTCAAAGATGCAGAGTTCTGCTGCCAGCTTTCCAAGCTAACCATGGGAGCAGGGACAAAGTTTGTTTTGAAGAAAATAGCTCTTTACAGGCAGGGACTTGTTTTAGATCATAAAATGCTTAAGAAAAGCTCTGGGTAATATTTCCAGCCTCTCAGAGAAATGAGTGCTGATTAAGGAATCAAGCTGAAGGGGACAGGATAAGGATCAATGATGTTTGATTGCGATGACTTCCTCAATTACACACCAAGCTTGGTCTGTACTAGTCAAATGTGCTCACAATCCCTCCCCTGCCACAAAGGCCTTGCTGGCATCAAGCTGAGGGTTTGGCTCATCAGTTGGGGTTGGGCACCCAGAATCTCTTTCATTTTAGGTTTGAATCCTGTAACGGATGTAGGCAAAAAGATCACACTGAAAATATTTCTCCATCTGTAAACAGTGTGTAAGCAACTCACGCTTTGTAGCCGCCTTCTGTGCATTCTTCAGGACAGTGCCAAGGATTCGTTAACATGTCCGGGCAGAGCTGTGCTGGGCATTCTACAGAAAAGCAAAAATTCTTAATGTGATTTGCCTACACCATCTGTGGTAGAAACTCTGGGTTTTAGCTGCCGTATAAGGGGGAGCCAATACTCACCACTGCTCACACTGGGGTTTTTAAAATTCATTATTTAAGGTGCAAGAACAATCTCATAAAACAGCTCCCCAAGTGAAACAAAACTGCATCCAGCTCAGGAGATTCTTCATCAGTTCTGCCCAGCCCATCACCTACTCCAGCTGAAGAATTAAAGCTCTGTGAAAGATAAAGCAGCGATATTTTGTTAGGCATCAGATTTCTGTAGGATTTAGTAAGTTTAGCAAGGAACACACATGCCCTTCTCGGGAAGCCTCAACTCCGTATTAATCATTAGGTGCCACTATGAATAGTGTACAGATGTACTATGGTGCCAGTGTGCAACCAAAAAAATAAGAATTTCACTCTGGAAACTGAATAGTCATTCTTAGGAACATCCTTCACACATTATTTCAATTGCACATTAGTATCAAGGCACAGTTTTTGTGACATGTTATACTTGGTGTGAGTGATTGCAGCAAGACTCGTCAGTGAAAGGCCACAGATCCAGCCAGGACAGGCATGCACAGACCTGCTCTGGCTGAGAAGTGTTAAGAGGGGTTCACCAGTTTGTCACCTTCTCCTCAGCAAGGCTCCTTCTCCTGAGTCCCAGCAGGTGAGTGCAGCCCCATCTCTGCCCATCAATCACGTACCCCTCTCTGCTACACACTCGTGCACCTGCAAAGGCAGAACTCTGCCCCTAAGAGAAGACAGCCAATGCAACTGTGCTGTGCTTGCAAGCAGAGTACAGCCCTACCAAATAATCGAGTTCTCAGCCTTTGATCCTATGGGATAAGAAGATAGGGCTCCTCCTTTAGTTGTGCAATGTTGTACTAATTTCTTAGTGCAGTGTCCTGTATTTGTTAGGCTCAGCTAATCCTTTCTAAAAGCTGTTGCTCAGCTCACCCACAATAGAACTTCAGAGAGACCACAGAGGTCAGGATCACCTTGGGCAACCCATGGCAACAGAGAAAGCCACTTCTGCCAGCAAAACAGCCCACTTTAATAGCAGTTCTCATGGCTGAGAGCTGTTTACTCTTTGCAGAGGCAAGTGGCTGCAAATTTACATGCTTGGTTCATGGAATTTGCAGTTTAGGTGAGCTATGAAAGCCCAGTAGAGACTGAGAAACAAAAAATGAGAGGTGAACACAAGCCGCAAAGCCTGTACTTGAAACAGGCTTCTTAGTAAGGTAAGAAGATGGTGGCAGATAAATCAAGATTTCACTTAATTAAAGGACCTTCCTCCAGTAACAGTCATTAATAAAAAGCAACGCAGATCTATGAGCTGTACATTTGATAAGGGGTGCTGAACATAATGGGGTCCCAGGGTTGGTTCCTCTGGACCTTCTGTTGTGCTGTGAGGTTGTTACAGCACTGCCTGGAATAAACAGCTAATTCCAGAGGTCCTGCTCCTACATGAATGTTAGCCACAAACAACCAAGCATCTGCAACAAACTCACCTGCTGTTAGAGAAACAGCTTTGATTTCTTCTCACTGCAGTATGCGTGTGCTGTGTCACACAGCTCGGTCACTAGCTAAGAGTCAGCAGTGCCCACCTTGCTACCATCTCTGCCTTATCCTCCAACTTGATTTCCCCGGAAAACACATTTTTCTGAATCTTCAAAACAGTCCTCCTTAAAAACAAACTGAAGACCTCAGATCTCCCACTGTATGGGCTTGGAGATGTGCACTGGTTGCACGGCTTTAAGATCTGGAAAAATCAAGCTAAGGGAGAAACAGCACAACTTACCTATGGAACATTAGAATTTGGAAGAAAATGTTGAAAATGCTATAGACCATGGCTCGATTGTAGCAGTCAGCAGGCACCCGTCAGGTTTGATCCTTCACGATGGTAAGGCTGGAATTGAAAAGGTATGAGAAGTCATTTCCCAATGCAGTTTGTGCCCTCAGGTGGGCTGGAGATCTCACAGACCAGGGAATGGAACAAATGTGGTCCCAGGCAGTGGCAGCAGCTTCCAAAGGCTCAGCCCTCTCCTCAGACATTAGGAGATGTTCCTGTACATATAAACAGTGTTTGGATAAAATCCTGCTGGAATGCAACTGCTAAGAAAATAGGAAGCAACTGGAAGCCTTTGTATTGCCAAAGAGCATGCTGGGCACTGGAAGTGGCTGAATTTGTAAAACAATTACCTTTTGTTTAAGGGTTATGTTTCTTATTTGAAATGTATTTCTTGTGCAGCTTATAAGCAACACCTGGTCAGAGAAAGGAAAAAACCATGCTTGCTCTCTGGGCATGCCTTGTGTAACAATGGAAAGGAACGCACTGTTCCTAATACATTTTTTGTGCGTTTTCATTCCCAGCAGCCAAAAAAAGAAAGAAAAAAAAAAGAATAAAAATAACATCCTTCTGCATTGCATTATACTTCTGATTATTTTTAAACTGCATGTCACAAAGGAGTAGGAAGGCTTTGAGGGATTTGGGGTGAAGCGGCTAGAACCTTGAGGTACAGAGCCAGATGTTCTTGAAATGCTTCTTGGGAACTGCCGTACACAGCTCTCAGGGAGCCTTGGCAGCACATCCTTACCTGGCTGCCTCTAGGACGCCCCAGCCGGCAGCACTGATTGCTTCAGCCTTGGGTCTCGTCCTTGCTGTGCTCACCTTCAGCCTGCAGGCCTCTGCCTTGGGTGCTGTCTCAGTACGAATATGAACAGGTCCTGTCAGAAAGGACCTGCTGCGGCAGCAGCTGCTGCCATATCCTGTGCTGCAGAGGAAATACTCCAGGCTAAAGCCTAAGGGCATCTCAGATTCTCGACATTTATTGCATCTCCCACCCCTATTTTCTTCTTTCCTTACTCACCCAAAGGAAGCCCACATCATTTCTGGACTGTGCCTTGCACTGTCATTCATTCTCAAAAGCTAGCACAGGCTTGCTAAAAATAAGTAAGGTGGTTTTTTGTGATATATATAGGAAGCAAGAGGCTGAAAGAGGTATGTTAAAGGACAGGAAAGCCAGATGGCTTTCCAGTTAATAAACATAGTAATTCCTATGTCTCAGATTAATCAGCGTAACTTTCTTTACAGACAAGCATTCAAATTCCCATTCAAAAAGGGTGAAATAAAGTCTTGGGTTCAGCAATCCAAAGCACAAGCCTGGGCTGAATTCCTGGAGCAAGACGAGAAACATTTGCTGCTGTGTGGGATGCTCTCGCTCTCCTCCTCCCCCCCAGCAGAGCGCTCACAAGCGCTGCAGCTCACAAGCTCTTTGAGCTGCTTCGGATTGGCACGTGATGGGCAATCAGTGACTGCACAGGGAGGAAGGCTGGAAGAAGCAGTGAGCACCATCCCATGAGCAGCCAGAGAGAGAAGGATGCTGGCTGCAGTGCTCAGGAGGCCGAGGAGAGCGGTGCTCTCCGTTGGTAGGTGGGCACGAGCACACTACCACATATTGCCACTGCAATATACGTAGCTGTGGTCATTAATGTGCCACCTCACAGGAAAGAGCAGATACTGCTGCAGTTTGCAGCACAGCTGTAAAACAGAGACTAAACCCTCAAACTTGCTAAAAAGGAGCCTGAAGCAAACCAGAGATGCAGATGAGAAGCAGAAAGGGTCTTCAGTGAAAAATAAAGTGACACCTGGAGTTCATAAAATCGTTAAGACTGGAAAACACCACCAAGATCATCTAGTCCAATCATCGACCTGGCACCACCATGCCCCAGTGTCACACCTACCCTTTTTAAGCTGCCGCGGAAGCTTCAAATTTATGGATGAGCAGGAGGGTATTGAGAGATTGAAACTTCAGCTGATAGTGGTAGGTATGTACTCTTCCCAGGCTTTCTTTGCCTCAGCAGAAGATGTTACCTTTTCCTTTCCAGTACGGTCTTTGTAACGCCACACGAAATGGCATTTTTGAAGGTTACACTGCAGAAGAAGCACCTGGCATGGCTGTTGGCTGTAACTTTGCTGTCAGTTACTGATGCTGACTCTGCACCCCTGAAAAGGATTTACACTCCGGGCCAGGTACTTCCTCGCTGGGGATAACTTTTACCACCAGATCTTGCTGGAAGAAGATGGCTTTAAAACTAGAAAAAAACGAATGAGGAAATCAGTGACACCAATTATACACTAAATGAAGATAAGTCCTTCTGTCTCATTAGCACTGTTTAATTATGCTTGCATTTGAATTCTAAACATAGATCGCAAGTATTCACAGGAGCAGGAACTTGCTTCTACTGTTGTAATCCCTTCCATATCTAAATTTCTCTCACCTATAAGATCAACACTTCAAGGATCTATCTGCTGGAGTCACAAATAAAAAAGATGTTGACCCTCCACCACTTTCTTAGAAACAGGAAACGTTGTTTAGCAGTGCCTTATCTCTGGTATTTGCACAGCAGTGAGCATCCAGATTACTTGGCTGACTTCTCAACTCACTGTGGTAGCTCTGTGGCAGGGTCCTGCCTCAGGACCCGGTGCTCTGAACAAGGCAGAGGCATGACATTTTCACTATGCATGTGTGCAGGCATTTATGTGTGTATATCCACCTATCTAGATGTCTAAACGCAAAGTACTGAGGGACAACAATATTTGGCCTGAGCTTATAAGACTTTAGGTCATTTCTACCTGCTCTTAGTTGAGCACTTGACCCAATCCATCCCTTTTTGGGATTAACTTCAACTTATTCTCCAGTTCATCACTATAGACGTGGCAAGAAACATACCTATTTGCCTCAGTTCAGTCGCTGGTACATTTCTGCACAGTGCTTGATACATCCCCTGCATTTGGGTCTTCCACATGGGTACAGCTGAAAAAGACAGTAGAGCCATTTCCCTGGCCCTGCAGAAAATGCCCCCAGTGTCAGCTCTCCTCTCACCCTGAGGGAGCCCTTAGACCACACACACCCTACCTGTACAAAACAGAAACAGGAAACTCCTCCAGTTCCAGCTGAAGAAAGCATTTCTGCACAGCCAGTATTGAAAGGAGGGAACTGGGCAGGATAGCAGAGAGAGAGAAGCAAACTGCTTTTTCCCTTCCACATCTGGTCAGAAATTCACAGCTTCAAGAAGCCCCATCTAAAAACAGAGATTTCCAAAACATCACTGGCATTTTTAAAAGCACAGAGAGTGCAAACACACTGCCTAGTGTGGCATCAGTCTTTGCTAATTCCGTATTGGTGTCTTCATTCCGACTTATAAATACCATTAGTCTAACCCCATCTAACCAGTGATTGAGTGAGAACCCTCAAAACTCAGTGTGTGCCCAGCCTGGCATGTGCAAGGAGAGTGAATGCAGGTACATGATTGGATTCTTGAATTCATGCAGGACCTACAGGAGTCATCACTTCTGTGCCCATGAGATATGGGATAATCAGAACACCAGCTTCTTCCTGCACTAGGGCAGTTAGGAAGCACTTAAATAGAGAGAGGGTTTTTGCAGCTCTTATTCTCTAGAGACAAAGGTGCAGAAATGGTGTGTAAACGCTGGTAGTGTTTATATCACTGTGGTGGCTTCCCATAAGTTCTGGACTTCTGCAATCCCTCAGCAGACAGCACAGACCAGCATGGGCTGCGCGATGGCTCCCATGTGCATCTGTGTGGTCAGGTACTTGTGGGCTGCACAGAACCCTGACAAGGCGGCCATGTGAGGCACCTGCATCCCCTACAGCTGCTGCACACCACTCCTTGCTGTTGCTGGGCCATAGCACTGCACTGTTCCTACTCCCCACGTTCCCCACAGCACCACCAGTTTGGGTCAGTGTGTAAAGCTGCTGTCCACTCAGGCAGCACTCACAGCTGCTGTGGGGAAGAAGCCACTTCGTTCCCAGCTCCAGCTGAAGAGTTTCCTCGCTGTCAAACCAAGCAGGGATCGACAGACAGCGCTAACAGCAGGCTCTAATCTCTGCAGTTCAGTAGGAAACCATGCAAACATGAAAGAGCCTAATGCTGGGTACAACTTGTGGTTCTAATGAGAACATGCCCTCAGGGTTTATAACAAAGAAATTCCAGTGGCTTCATTGCATTGTGTCTGAATTTCCCCCGCTACTTCAACTGGATACAGTGCTGGGGGATGGCAACGGGAGGAGGAAGTTATTTGCACAACTGCAGAGGGAAGCAAGCGACCACAGGAGAAACTCACTGCCAAGACGTCTGTGCAGCACAGACACTGGAGACTGCTGCCTACAGCCGCCATGTGGGCAATGCCTGCCTTGGCGCCAGAAGAGCGCCCAGCTTCTTGTGCCCACCAGCACACACACCCATACAGCTCCAGCTGAGGAACCTTACCACAGAGCACAAAAAAGACCATGGGCATCGCAGCCCCCGCACCCTTTGCCACTTGGATCAGTAGCTGTACAACAGTGGTTTCCCTACGGGTGCACAAATGAGTGTCAAATGGTACTCTTTTAATTCTAAAGACATGGATGCCTCTGCTGTGCCATCAGAACCTCATGGAACTGACCTTCGTGCAGCACTCAGATAATTTTCACATCATTAAGCATTTGTCTTGGGTCAAAAATTCAACCCATTTCGTAAGGGTGAAAGGATATTTCATTGCCCTAAAACACAATCAACATGCTATTAACAGCATATCATATAAGGTACAAACTATCACTATGTCCCTCACCTTACTAGAAATTAATTTACAACCACCATCTCCTGTTGCTAGTAAATCTTTACATCCACAATATTCTACAAATACCATTGGGAAACCATAAGCAGTGACCATCACATGTGGACATGTGACACGAAGGTGATAAAAGTGATACTTCCAAAGGCCTCTGAGTTGTGACTGCATCGTTTTGAAGGACAGGGAGGGTAGTTGGTGATGAGAACCAAGAGAAGAGCTGAGGTACAACATCTCTAGCCATTTTCAATTGCAAATGTATTCTCTGAATCTTGCTTGAAACTATTTGGCATTCATCAATGAATTTTATAGTCATCATTATGGTAACCGAACACCTGAATTCCCAAGTTCCCCCCCCCCCTCTTTTTTTTTTTTTTAAATAATAGGCTATCACTTAACACCAAAACTGAGGAGATATAAAGTTCAGAACAGTTGCAGCTAAGTATAAACTGCTTTTAAATGCTGCTGCAAAGCCCCCACAGCAGCCACACATCCATCCCGAAGTCCCAGTCTTTACTTACAAACTGCTGCTCCAGTCAGAGGGATTACATAAACCAGTACATTCTTCTCCACCTTCTGCTCCAGACATTCCTCCCTGCTTCACACAAGCTGTAAAGAGAAACAGCATACTCTTAGTATCTGTTGAATTAATAGATAGCCATGTCTAGTCAAATTCTAGTACTGATACAGCGTGCCAGTGTCTAACAGTGGTGCTGATGACACGTAGATCCTCTGCCTGGCAGATGGAAGGAGGTCCTGGTGCCTCAGAGTGGCCTCCCAGCTAAGAAGAAAACAACTTTCATCATACTTTTCACTGTTAAGAACAGGTTTTGTTTAACTTGCTAATCATATGTACGTATATTTATTTTGCCTGTAAGTGAAAACATTAAAATAAAGTAAAAAGGATGAATTTCACTAAAAGTACAAGAATTGGGACAGAAAATAAAGGATGAAAGAGGAATAACTGTTCTCTGTAGTTGGGTTCTGCTAATTGCATGATGTGACAATAACCTTCATGATATGCTAATTTGTTAGATTAGAATGTCTTTAGGCTCAGTCATAAAGGCTGAGTAATAAAACTGTCTTAAGGCTCAGTAATAAAACTGTCCCAACTTGTAACAGCTCAAAGAAGGCAATCTATGAAGTCAGCCTCAGCATTTGGTATAGCCTCACGTAACCCTACAAGCAACATGAGAATTTAATGATATCACATCAATGAGTGTGAATCGCCATTGAAGAAATGGAATAATATGCTCTAAATTCATTACAGACAAGCACTCAGGTGTAGTCTGCCAATGAACGTGTAACTTACCTGGCTTTTCAATAGAAAGGCACACAGGGAAGGTATTCCAGTGCTGAAATCGTTGGAGAGAACTCTGCCAGCTGCTGCTGAGCCACAGCTGTAAGCCTGAAAAGAACCATTTCTACATGAGTTAGGTTATTTTTGTCAGTGAGAAAGTCTTCCATTATGCAAATATTCAAAGCTGCCCAGTAACTCATCATGTAGCTGCTTAGGGGCACAACCTAACCCAGGAGAACAGAAAATGCCACACCTTCCCACTAAGCCAGTCCCACAGGCGCAGCTACTTGGCAGGCCCCGTGCCTCTGTCACTCTCAGCCTGAGGGCAGACGAGGCAGAGGTGTGGCAGCCCTGGGAGGACATTTTACTTCTTCGAACCCTGTGAGCTAAGCATGCCCAACCTGTGGCATGTGGCCTGGCCTGCAGTTACCCCCCCCTCCCCCACCTGCACCATCATGGTGGCAGATCTGCCCCACCAAGGAGCCCGGCCTTGCCCTGTCTGTGCACTCATTGCCCAGCACCAACCAAAAGTCATTTCTCTTTCTGTTTGTATTACCAAAACATTCACTCCAGTAGAATAGCAGCAAACGAGGCATATGCAGCTTCCAATGGCAGCTCACATCACTGGGTGGCTTATGCCGAGACAAATTTAGTAACAAACTAATACTGAATTTGCAGCCTCACATACAAACCAGGATGAAAGGAAACCAAGAGAGAGAAACCTGCTCAGCTGCATACACACCAGTGGGATGGCAGGGAACTGATCCTCACAGCACAGCACACAGGACAGGAAGTAACAGACCAAATACAAAAAGAAGACTTTTGGTGCACCCAGCCCGGCTGCTGAGTTGGGCCCCCTCCACCAGACTGTGGTCACAGGGAGGTGATACAGCTGGGCTGGTCAGTAGGCAATGCCTGTGGGCTGTTTGCAGTCCTGCCTTCCCTACCAATACTGCACTGCCAACTCAAGTCCTCAGGAGGGCTATTTACAACCAGCAGACACGCTGGTCTTGCAGGCACACAGAGAGCAGGACTGCAGCACTGTGCCACAAGACACGACTGGTTTGTGAAACCAGCCACTCCACTTGAAGTGTTTCAGGCACTGGAATCTGGAGGCTCACTTGCCATTGCCCTCAAAGTCTGCCTTTGCCCTGACACCCACTCAGGCCTCCCCACAACCTTCCTACTGAAATCTCCTCCTTTTGGAGTAGCACAGCGGGTTCCAGGAGCACCTCTGAAATGTCCCAGAGACACCATCCCAGAGCTTCTGCTTTCCTGGTGGCCCCACAGCCTGAGGGTGCACACAGGTCTGACCTCACCAACCTGCCCAGGGAGCTAATAGCTCACAGAACAACAGTGATTCATACCATACTTCCCAGCTTGTGTTTTTTGGTGGAGGGGAGAAACGAGATTTAAGCTCAGAAGCCACCACTGTGGGCTGGTTACAAACCTGCCTTGTGTCTGTGTTTCTCCATGATCAGAAAGACAGGGAAGCAGAAGCAGGAATTTCTGGACGCCTTAAGACTTAAGGCATATTTTCCCTTCCACGGTTTTCACACACCCTATCCAGTCACCCAGCTAGGTCCCCAGCTCCTGTGCAGAGTCCCAGTGACACCCAGCACCCCAGCAAGCTGAGGGGTGCAGACAGTGGTGCTGTGCCTCGCATACCCGTGACTCGCATACCAAGAGGGCTGGTGGCTTTGTGGGCTTTTGAAAGCTTCTCTAATTATGCAGCAGTTTGCTCATAGCTGCGGTGTGTGCGGTCAACAGCACTTGGGCAGCTGGCCAGCAACACAATGCTCTTCCCATCTTCTTGCCAGTGTTCAAAGCACCCTTCAGAAAATTAGCGATAACTAGTCTCTCCGAAATCCCCATCTATCAACCAGCACAAAGCAAGTTAAGGGTGAAAAATGCTCCACAGATTTAACTTCAGTACAAACAAATAAAACAGTGCTAAAACACAGCTGTTTTAAACAAACAAGCCAACCACTGTTAATTGTGGCTGCAATGACACTGTAATCACAGTAAAAATGAAGAATTCATCTTGCAGTTGCTTCTATAACTCACACATAGGTGTTTATATCACACAGTAATGTAGAATTCTAGCATCTTTCAGTACACACAGAAATTTAAAAATATTTACATGTGTAAAGTAAGACTTTTACTTACAAGTTTCATTAAGAATTGATGAAGTTTAACATCATTTCTTTAGTCTATCCGCTATAAATCAGCAGAAAAACTTGGGAAATAAAGCAATGGATGGTGTGTGATGAATCCAGTAAAATGTGCATGAAATACAGTCAAAGCAAAGGATGTATGAATTACCTAGAAGTGATCAGCATTTCTCGACAAGTCGCAGTAATTCAGGCTTCTGGATTCAGTCTCAAGGGTACTTCTATGCCAAGCACAAATTGCTGAGCATCAGCCATCAGACACCAACTTGGACGTGCTGTGAAGACAGAATAAATCCACATGGGGATACAAAATTTTTACTGACAGCACCATAAGATGCTTACCTCCAGTACACAGGTTGTGCTCGCGTTGAGATCTTGCAACTTCGATTTGAAAGATGACACAGTGATTCTTCATGTGCATCTATATGAAAATGCATTAAAAACAAGTGTTTAGATTTCAGAAGTAAGCATCTGTCAAGGTGGAGTAACTGTCATGTATTCAGCCAGAACCACCCATATTCCCAGATTCTAACAAGAAAAACAAGTGTGCACATAATTGGTACGATGCATAACCCCCCTTTTCTTTAGGTAACTCTACAGTTTTCGGTTACTTCAACAGTTCTCTAGCGTATTGCTAAGCTTCAAAGTACTGGAGGTTACTACAACACATTCCAGATACATGAAAATTGTTAACACAATCTTACCTCTTTTCCTTAGGCAAAACAGTCTGTAACTTCCAAGACACAGAACAGGATATAATGAAATTTAATGTGAGCGTGCAGCCATGGCAAAATCCTTGAACCCCACCACCTCGGTTTCGTACTGGCAGATGGTGAAAAGGATGCAATCCCAGTACTCTGGCATAACATAAAGGCAGAAAATATCAGTCTATTTTTATGGCTAACAAATTCTAGAGAAACTTACTGAAATAATTGGAACTGTTTCTGTGAGGCCTACTCATTGAAATAACGGTTATTTAGTTATGACAGATGCTTCAAATTTTATGGAAGTCTCCCCTTTCAGCCCTAACATTGCTTGAATAAATTACTCTATGCTGTTCGCCATCAAAGTGAACTTGCTTAATAAGTGAATGTAGCTCAGCAATAAGGAAAACAGATTTGTCCTTTGTTAAAATGCAAAAACACAGGATGAAAACCTTGAAATTTCAACTGTCATTGTTTATTACTGTTTTGGCTACATTCTCTACAATTTCAGCAGCATCTTAAAGAGACAGTTAATGTTTCTTTATATACAATGAAAACAAAATGGCTTGCAACATCAGAAACAAGAGCAACAGTTTAACTGTACAATACTAAATGAAAACCTGTGGTAATAACAGCCTCCTTTTTCTGAAACATGGACAAAATTACAGATAGTATTCAGCATCCAGAATGGGACAATAAAAAGAATAGTGAAACTGCAGAGAGATACGCTGTTTTGAAAAATAAGTTTCTACCATACAAGGCAATTAGAAAATGTTTCACATTTTAAAATACCTGTACAAGCCACAAGAAACATTTCCTTGTTGATAGGAACTTCCAGAAATAGAGAATAGCCATGAGCAACTTCTACATCTAGTACTGATGCACTCTACAGGTTGAGAGTGCAATTAATTGACTTACAGAACTGTACTGCATACGGCCAACACAGCTCGGTTTTACATGCCTTGATTGTTAATGAGTTTCCTACTCAGTCTCTCTATAACGTACAGTTTACTTGCACCTTAAGGAGGTCATCTGATTCTTTTGCTGAAGTAAAAGCAACGTTGTTTAGCAGCAATTAAAAGCGCCTTGAGGGAGACTTAAAAAAAATACAATATCCAATTAGAAAAAGCCATACTTTAAACATTTGTACAGGAATAAGTTGCTGAATTTAATGAAAATGTGACATCTGTACAACAATTTACAATAGAGCTAGAAGGGAATTTATCATTATTCCTGCATAGAATATTATACATGACCTGTTTGCATTTGGTTTCATACTGTTGTCTGCTTTTATCAGAGGCCTGGAAATTTTCACAAGTTTCAATACCACAGCAAGTACAGTATATTTAGAAAACTAAGCTTATTTCAAAATTAGCAACGTATTTGAGACGTAAGTACCAGGAGTTCCCTATCAACCTAAATTCTGTGACAGAACACATGTTTGGAGGTACAAGCCTGAGTGCCAAATAAAATACTGTAATTTCATTGTGGAATCTGATGTAGAACACAGCTTTGACTGTCTTGCATTTCTTACTTTGGTTTCAGAAGATCAATGTCTTGGAAACACAGCAATTCATTTAGTTTATTAACCAGACATGGAATTTTTCTTGTTCTCAAATTTGCTGACTACCTTTTAAAAAAATTTTAAATAATGAAAAACTACCCTTCATGTTAGAACTTTCCAGTATCAACCAAATGTACTTTAAGTATTAAAAAGATTATTTACAATGTTCCCCAGAAAAAAACTAAAAACCCTTTCTTCAGTCTCAAACACAGTATACCTGTTAGTGTGCAACAGGCAATGTCATCCTTCAACATTTAAAGGCTGTTCTCTGAAGGGTATGTTTATTCACAGTCCATGACCCATTCCAATCATACAAACAACACTATGTAGGAGGACTTCAGCCTGAAAACACAGTTATCAAACTTGTCCTGCAGAAAAACACCCATATGTTCTCAAGCTCAAGTATGCATTTGGAAACTACACCAAGATATCATGCCATTCCTCAGTTGGAGAAATTTCAGTATGAAATAATGCTTGAAGTAGGTGGTGTAGGGGATGCTGCTAGCCCAGTCATATGTAAGTTTCCTGAAGAATTTGATCTCCTCATATGGGGGAGAAGGTAAGGATCATTAGCCAGTTGATGGACATCAAATCTATCCTCTTTTCGGTATGCTAAGCAGCGTCTGATAAAGGCCTAGAAGAGGAATGCAAAAAGTTACAATACCATTCCAAGTAATTCCATCTGCTTACAATCAATAAGCACATCCTCCCAGACAAACCAGCTTCTAAACAGACTCTTGTTCTTATATAATTCCATTCAAAGACAGCCTAACATTCTACTACAGTTTCCAATGAAAAACAGAGAACATTGTAGCAGAAAAAAAAAAATCAGCAAGCCTAATTGGCTTAAAGTAATCACACTTCAAACATATGCATCAGACAAAAAGATGTATGAACTATATTTACAAGCAAAACATTAGCATTTCACACAGGGAGAATTCTGCTTGTGCTATCCCTTAGCAGCATAGTAAAAGCAAAAAGCTTTTACTTTTTTTTTTTTCTCAGATGTCTGAGAAAGCAGAAAGGAGCTCCACGGAGCTTCTAAAATCATCCAGCAGTGCACCACACGAATAGCAGAAGATGTAGGGACAGTTGCCACTTTCAACAGGCACTAACCAACAGATGATTTAAGAAATCACCACCTAGCTGGAATTTCTCTCTCAGAAAGGAGTCAATTCCAACTGATTTAAAATATCTTAAAAACCAGGAAAAAAATCTCTGTTTATCTCCAGAGCTGCTTTTGAGACACTGTACTGCCCTTCATCAAGGTCCACATGATATTTGTCAATTATTGCATGATTCAAGTTTCTGTTAAGCCTCATGTCTAATATACACAGAACACTCAGTCTCCTGGGAACGTGGGCTTCAACATTTAATGACAGAAAATCCTTATTACTGCTACAGAACTCATTAGCACATCATTACTTAATCTAGAATTTTAAAAAAATTACATATCTTCTCTTGATAAATCCCTTCAATTGTTTGTCCTATGCTCCAATTAAACTTCCCTTCAATCTCCAGTTTTTAATCTGTGATGTAAATCCTGAAGAATCCCTTTAAAATTCCCTTTTAACATACACATATCTTACAGGAACTAGTCACAAAATAAAAACATGCACATCTTAACATGAATTCACATGTTCTTGGACATTTGTGGATTTAATTGAATTCTTTATAATGAATCCCTAAGAAATGAGCTGGTAAGTGTAGTTTACAAGGTTCTCAGAGTAACAGATTGTTTCTAAAATGTTTGTAGAATACTTTGTGGTTCTGTGGCAGTGCAAATATTACTACAATGCACAGGACACAGCACAAATTAGGAAAAAGTAGCAAGGACCAAAGGATAATTGCAGTCTGGAAACTAGCAGTGTCATTTCAGATTTTGTATTTATTTCCCTATGTTTTCCAAATCAAAACTTTGTTTTGATTTTATTTATTGCTTATTGCTGTTCTTTTCCAACTACTAGGCCTATAAATTTACGCAGTCATCATAAACTATCCAAATTCACAAGTTAGTCTGAAATTGTTTTACAGTGCTTCCACCAGAGAAGAATTTCTCCCTCTCTTTTACAACTATCGTGACATTGTTAATAATCTTTCATTATTCTCCACTCCTGCTTTTTCAAACAGAACAAGGAACAGAGAATATAAAGTAAGAAACTAACTGCATCAGAACGACAGTGAATTATTTGCTCTCTTCCAATGCCCTTCAGAAAAACACTACTTATCACTAGGAAATGCAGAGTTAAAAGACAGAAATATAAACTGCTAGCACATAACATTACCAGCTATGAGTTCTATGATGCATATTTGTCAACTGCACTCAAAGGAGATGATCTTTCTGAACTGAGACGAATCTCCCCAAAATGAAATCAATCAACAACAACAACAAAAAAAAAACCAGCAAAAAACAGCCATCACCACCTCCTCCAAACTAACAGGACAAACTGTAATATTCAACCAAATAGCCATAATTCTAACTGCAGCTCATTCATTAAAACTAGTTCCAGAAAATACAGCCAACACAAACACACCGCTACTGTTTATGTCCCTGACATAACTGTTTTCTTGGGAAGCTACATCCTCTAAAACTGTGTTGCCTTTCATTTTTATCAGAAGCTCAAATGTCTTAAAATCTTTAAACTTTTAGCAGTCTTTTACTTTTACAAACAAGTAACTGGGAATATTTTCTTCCAAATTCACAAAATTGGATTTGTCATAGATGCTCACATCAGCAATAAAACAAACAAACAAACAAACACCACCAGAAAATCAGTTGAATCTGTTCTCTTAATCACTGGTCTGTGCAACTGTGTTTGATACAGTTTCAAAATAAAATTATCAAAACCCCAAAAAACATCACAATCCTTAAAAATAAATGAGACAGGTTTTAACCACTGCTCTGAGCTCATATAAAACATTACCTTGGCTTCATTGCTAACAACAGGCTTAACAGGGAACTGGACTTCTGTGGCTTTTAATATTGTATTTTCTTGTAAGATATCTTGCTGAGATTGATTGTGGCCAAATGGCTGAAAAATAAGCAAGGGATTTTCTTCATGACAGTTATACAACCATTTTGATTTCATAAATACTTATCCAAAAGTAAATTGATTACAGTGTTAATATATATGTTTCTAACCACTTTTCAATTAAAAAAATGCTTCAGTCAAAGCCTTTTACATTTCTCACAGTATCAGTGCACACTAGCAAAAGCTAACACAAGTCTTTTCCATATGGATTCACATATTTACAACTATTGTTCACATTCTACTGAAAACAGGCAAGCACTTATACTAACAATTTAAGATAGGTAAACAATATTTTCCTTACCTTTCGACCATAAAGACACTGGAAAAAGATTACTCCAACTGACCATACATCAACCTTATTAGAAATCTTTGGTGGCTCTTTGCCAACTACAAAACACTCTGGAGGCAAGTACCTGAAAAAGAAAACGTGTGCCTCAGTGTCAGCAAGCAGATGTATGAATCACTAGAACTTGTTCAAAGATCAGAAATGGTACACAAAAAAAACTCCGCAAGTTGATATTTGAACAACTGTGCAGTTATCTTATGATCCTTATTCCAACACTTACAACACTGATCAAAACTGACAATACAATTTTTTGTACAGTCAGGCAGTCAAATAAGGAACCTATTCTTTACTTAAACCACTAATAATCATTAATTATTCAAGCACTGGGATCCTATTAGGGTAAATATACACCTTCTGTCTCTGTTTGAACATGGAAAGATGAAAACCGTACAGGACATTTAAAGCTAGGTCTCAATAGGAATCAAATGTAACATACATATGATTTTAAAGTTTTCAGTAAGAATGCTGACATTAATAAGAGAATTATAAGGTAGGTAAATGTGATCATATTTCTATGCCTATAATTTCCATGGAAGCCATACTTGAAAAACTGAAAGCTGATTAAGTTCTTATGGCATCCCTGAATTACAGAGGAATTTATGCAATGCAATCTCCTTCGAAAAAAATAAAACCAAAAAACCAAAAATATCACTATGAAGGCAGTTAATTATTATTGACTGCAATAAAAATCTAAAAAAGGGGGTAAAAAATCCTTCAGAGCCATGACATATCAGACATTCTTTCATCAACAGCATGTAAGGCTTTAAAAATAATTTACAGAAATGCCTGTGAAAATGGAAATAAGCAAAAAAATGAAGAAAGAATGCAACACAACTATGAATTTCATACAACATAAAAAAAAATTCTTCTAGAATACTTGTGCACAATCCTGATTACAACATGCAAGAAAGATGTACTCAGACTAATGCAATCACACAAAAAAAACTACCAAGATGGCATGAAGAACTGAAAGCCACAATTCAGAGAGAAGCCAAACACTTTAAAAACACAAGGGAGCAAGTATCAGGAAGGGAAACAACCTAATTCAAAGGAGGCCAGTGTTGGTGCAGGAACAAACAAGTACAAACTGGCTACATGCAAACAGTTCTATAAATTAGAAGATTAAGTTTCTAATGACCACAGAACTGAGGTTATGGAACAAACTTCAAATCAGAGATGACTGGGGACAAAACACTGAATTTAATACAGATGGTTCTAAGTCTACAGAACAGATTACATGACCAGAACGCATGCAAGGACAGGTAACTCGACCCGGGGACTGAAGAAATCCCTCCCACTACTCCATTGCCGAGTTCATGCTATTTGCCTTACACAGACTTATCCCTATCTCAAACTAACTCAAAACTTTCCCTCAGAGGAAGCAAAAGTTAGAAACACAGAGATTTATCATCATTGTGTAAAGGTCACAGACAATTTTAGATCTCCCAGTTCACAACACCACTAGTGCATGTGGTGCTTTAGATGAAAGCCAAAGGCCCAAACTTTTTGAATAGTGTTCCTACAATTAAATATTTAAACTCATGTTTAAATTGGAGCATTAAGGAAAGCAGCAACAGTCTAGCATTTCAAAAATGCTTCAACTTTGATGACTGTCTTTTCACGAGATGCGCATCCTAAAAATTTGCAAGGAAAAGACAATCTGTTAAATGCAACTTTCAAATACAGGAAAAGTTTAAGAAGAAATAGGAAGGACACTGGCTTCTCTGTTTAGAGTTAAGTACCGAAATCTGAAACCTATCTTGCCACAGACAGAATGAGGAGAAAAACAAACAGATGAATTCACAAATAATCATCCAGTCACTATAGGCTTTCTATTCCACTCACCCTAACACAGGTACTGTGCACACAGGCTCAAAGATCTATTGTGTCAGCTTGCATCTTTACAGAATAAATTCTACAAACAGCTTTTCTGTTAGCAATAAAATGGTTTTTTTTGTCATTCTTGCTCTGTAGACAGATCTACAATTTCAGGTTTTTGGACAAGTATGTGGATACACACAGAAAACAAGATACAGCTGCTCAGCTGTCATTAACCTTTAGGATGGAAGAATAAGTACTCTTTTATCCTAAGGACATTACCTTCTGGTAATCCCTGCTCTAAGATTTCCAAGGACTAAGTGCCCACTCTTAATCATCACAGCTCTGTCAAACATCTTTAACCACCTGCAGCCAAAGATTAAACACCTGCTTCTTCTGGGAAACAATGTTTATAAATCACCGAGATTTGCTCCGCATTTTAAATGTATGTATATCTATATCTAGATTCCTAACTTACTTCAGTTATGGCACTATTCTGGAATTTTTGTGAATATCAAGATCCACAGTACTGCACAAAAATCTTTGTTTGTTATTCACGTTAGTATTTTTAATCCTAGCTATCACTAGGAATTAGCTTTATGAAAACATTTCAGAAGCCTGAAAAATGACCTAAACAATAAAATCAAATCAGGCATTACCAGTAAGTTCCTGCTCCTTGTGAAGTTAAATCCATTCCATCCACACCATAGCTATCATCATCCATTATTTTGGACAATCCAAAATCAGTAATTTTTATTTCTCCACATGCTGTTCCATCTACAAGAAGAATATTACCTAAACAGAGGGGAAAAAATACATTTTTAACTTCAAAAAATGCCACCAGAATGCTTCGTTTTCAAAACCAGCCACAATTTTCAGGAACATTCAACTTAATGAGGGTGAATGATATCTTTATATCATCTTTATGATCTCAAGTCTAGAGCAACTAGACTATGACATTTTAGTGCTATCTCAGGAACTCTCTAGGTTATCACTACTATCATCTTAGATGGCTTGCCCAACTTGGAGCTGACTGGACAGCAATATAAAACAGTATACTAGTCACAATGAAGTTTAATATTTTTCTGTCCAAAAAACGTTCTAAACTACACATTTCAGGGTTCGCACATGCCAGAAAATAGTGCCAAGACATGCTGCAGTTCAAAAAAATCTAGCTCCACATGTTAAAGCTGTGCAATAATTTGATTTTAAAAAATCATTTGATGAGTTTCCTCTAAAAATAGAACAAAAACTAATGAGACTAAGATTACATTCTGTACAACTTCACAATATGAAATCTGTTATTCCTTAATAGAAATCTATATGAAGAATTCAGCAAGCAAACAGCCTGGCATTAATAGCTACACAACAAACCCTGGACTTGGAAGTTTAGCAGATTAAAATACACAAAAAGCATAAAAGATGGAATACGTCATTTAAGGCAATATTCATTATTATTACTAGAAAACTTGACCAGAATTTAGAGAAGAGATCCAAGTGACAACAGTGTTTACATTGGCTTCTTGAAAAAAACTAAACTACTTCAGATAAAGAGGTAGTTTAAAAAAAAAAAAAAAAAAAAAAAAAAGCTACAAACATGCAAGATGCATAAGAAAAAACAGATTTGGAATTAGAAAATATTTCTCCAAGGTCCTGGCTGGAAACACTTATCCTTACATGTAGAAAGTGATTATTCCAACCCTTTATAGTCTAAGAAATATGAAAGGGAAAAATTATTTACAAATCAACATTTTATAATGATCAGATAGGATCGAGTCAAATACTGATCTTAAATACTTATACTACTAAATATTAATGTATCAACAGGCTCTACGACACTTTCTTACAAATACAAATCAAAATAGCACAAAGGAAAAAAGTTGTAAGAAGTATTTTTATAAAGAAAAGACAGATTATTTTAACATTAAACTGGAAAGAAAAGTATCTACCTCTCAGATTAAAATAAACCTGACAAGTCAAAGATAATTTTGGTATTTTGAGGCATGAATTATAAAAAAACTGATAAATGTGATGACGTTTTCAATTTTGCCATTTTTCATTTACCTGGTTTAAGATCATAGTGTATAATAGGGGGCTTGATCTCATTGAGATACCGTAGTGCATTTACTATTTGCATTACAATGGACCTAGCTTCCTTCTCTGACATCAATTTATGTTGCTTGAGATAGAAATCCAAGTCATTGCCTTCACAGTATTCTAACACCGTGCAAAACCTACGGCAGAATTTACAGACAAAATTAAACGGCATATTCAACTGCAAGATCAAAGTTATGACAATATAGTTTAATACCAGTAACTTTAACAACAGCTTACTGAATATTAAATTACATGAACGAAATTGTTAATAAAACATGTAGCATAATGATTAGACTATGAAACCTGATATCAATCAGAACACAAACAACTCACCAAGAAAGAAAGCTTATGCACACAGGTGTTACAAAACAGTGTTTTCATCACTTTACAGAAGATCTCCTATATATTCCTATCTGCAACAAACTTCTGCAACTAGTGGTTGGGGTTTTTGTGCTGTCGTTATCCATTTTTTTTCCCTTCTTTTTTTCAAAGAAATAAAAAAAAAATAAAAAATAAAAAGAATCCCTAATGAAACTGTAAGTATTTTGGCAGAAAGTCAAATATTCTTCATTTCTGCTTATCCAACATACAACACTAAAGCCCCTGTCACGTTCTAGAAAACATATATTCTCATGTACTTACGTATCTGTATCCAAGGAGAAGTAGTCATATAATTTAACTATCCGGGGGTGATCCAGTTCTTTGTGTATTCTATACTCTCTGCAGGCATGTCTAGAAGAAGATTGATACATTAATCTTCCACAATTGATAAAATTCTATTCAACTTAACATATGAAGCATAAGTCATTAATACTTACTTGTGGTAGTTTTCTTTCTTTTCATCCCTCCAGCTTTTGTTAAGCTGGTGAATCTTCACAGCAGCATATCTTTGTTCATAAAGATCAAAAGCCTAAAAAAGAAACCCACAAATACAGGAAAGTTATAGCTGAAGATGATGATAAAAATAACACCCAACAGAAAGAAACAAAACTGGCATGTAATTCACATGCCTAATGTAATGCTACCTCTCTTTCACAGATTAATCAAGAAGGTTTTGCTCAATCACTGTTTAACAAGTATACACATTAAAATCCTCTTGCTTATTCAGATCCCTATTTTCACTCCAGTCCCAGAAATCAAATGGACAAGAGTATATGCTTCAAACACTAGATTTAGTAAACTCAACACACTCTACCTTGTATACTTCACTGAAGCCACCTCGGCCAAGCAAATGGAGTAACAAATACCGTTCATTCAATGTGGGGTGATCTTTAAACCTTGAAAAAAAAAAAAAAAAGATTTAATTCATTTCTGTTTAAGGTATAAAAACACAGCCTAAAATGTAAATATCTGGGTATTACTTCTTAAACAGAACTTTTCTTTCTACCAGTGACATATAACATACTGAAGAATATTTAACCATGTGCAACTTTATGGCGCAGTTATACAACAGTAAATTTCAACTATTTAGCATAAAACTCCTATCACAACATTACTGTCAAATCCCCTAATTCTGGCAAACTGTTTGCCATTTTTCTCTCTTTGTGAGGATAACAAAAAAACCACCCTTAACTCACTCTCTGTAAACACTATGCTCACAATGAGTCAATAGGGAAAACACTATTCTGTGTTACATTCACTTTGTTTTGAAACAAAACCACTATCAACAACAGTAATCATCATCAATATCATCAACAGTAGAATCAGTAGGACCTGCATCTACTCCATAGCATGAGCTCTGCTTCTATACTGTCTGAATAACCAGAAATAAGAATAGAATTTCAACACATTTTTCATCTCTCCAATCTGTTCACTTTACCCCTGTTAATAAACATGCCCAGGAACCATGCAATGCTAATACTCTAAATGTTGGTGAATACTGCTTTGCAATCTGTATCACTAGAGGGCTGTGGTTCTCTTCCATACATCCTCCAGAGGTATCCTGCCAAAATCCCAAACCCTTCCTTTGCATAAAAGGTTTAAGAAATGAGATACAGCAGTGCTCTGCTCAATGATCCCAATTTGCAAGAAGTCAGCTTCTGATTTCTGGAACTGATGAGGAAGATACACTTCCAATTTCACACAAAACTTGACCCGACCTGTTGTACATATTCATCTTCCAACAAAATGACTTATATATAAGACTAAGAAGTTATAAAATAACAAATAGTAACATGTGGAAAGCATGTCAAATGACTGTGTATCTGCTCACACTCTCATGAAAAGCAAGGAGGAAAAACTCTTCCCAAATGCAAAATGATGTTGCAGGATAAACACCACACTCTCTCCTGACATACGCAGAAGATAAAACACATCCTTAATCAAACCAGTAGCCAGAGTCTGACTGCTTATGTTAGTGACAGTGAAGGAAAAGAGCATAAAGGATTCAGTGAAACATGATAGCTACTGTAGCCCTTTCAGGCTTTGGAAATGGATGGAATAGATGGAAACATGCTTCTTATCAGCTGCCAAACTCCTGTTAAACCAAGATGGTGAACTGACTGTCCTTCCAACAAGAAATTGGATTTCAGTTTACACTTTCTGAAAAATAGGCTTCTAGAAAAGCTCTTCAGAGAAGGAAAACTTGGGTAAATATTTAGGCAAACAGACAGTAAATGACACACGCAATACAAAAATTTGCAAGTTTTGTCACTCAGAGTGATAGGTGACCTCATATGGTGCTACTGTATCACTTTAGAACCAAAGATAAAATACTACTAAAATTGGCAATAACAAGAAAATTAGAAAGTTTGTTCGTGATTTCTGAAATGTGAAATAGTCTTAAAAAAATATATATTAAATTAAACAGTATTCTGAAGTTACATCAAAACATCTAAGCTCAGAGATGCATCTAATTAATGTTTGCTGTGTAAGATGTTACTTCTTACATTCGTCTGCCTATCAAGGAGAAGAGATTGGGGGAGGGTAGTGAATACTCAACCTGTCTTCAGAACAATGATGAGATGCTTATACTCATGAATCTAAGGCCAGTTGCTAACTATACCCCATGGCAAACTTTAAGGGTTTAGGGCTAGTTTTAGGAAAAATTAGACCAGAAGACTGAGCTGGAGTTAAAATTAATCCAGAGAAAGAAACCATGGGAGCTGGAAATTTAACTTGGATCAACTTTCAGCTGCTATTCACTAGAGAAATGCCATTGCTGGCAAGAGAAAAGAAAAAGGGCAAGGGTATAAGGAAATAGCAGACAGGCAGAACAAACTTATTGGAAGCAACATTGCCACCTTAAAGCATTGATGAAACACTATGTGTTAGAGCTTGTATTCCTCACCATGGAAAACACACTAACTTTATTAGTTGGAATCTACAAAGTTAAAGTAAACCTTAAATGCCAATTTAACATTAGGATATACTGCCACGTGAGCTGAAGTATAGCTAAATTTAACATAACACAGAAGATTCTATGTTTGTCTTTCTCCTACCAGGCACCTGTAATGTAAATTATGGTGTAATAAAACTCACTGACTTAACTGCTTTACCAAATAGCTCTTCGCGCACAAAACCTCCCCACCATTTTCTTGCATTACTGTCAGCTTATGGTTCCAAGATTTTTTTTCCTAGTGAGGTGATATTGCAAATTTTAGCATTCCTGCATTACAACCTGTGTATGTGTATTATTTCCTGCATATTCAGTGAACTATTAAGCTTTAAAAAAATTACTTCTTGTTTGGTAAAGCTTAAATATGCTGTTTTTTAAAATGCACACAAACAAACAATGAACTGAAGAAAAAATAATGAACCTGCTTATATCCTACTAAACAATTTGATTTTAGAGCCGTATTTTTAAAGTAGACATGCAAAAATCAAGACAGTAAATCTTACTGTGAATTATCTTCATTATTAATTCTTTTCAGCTCTCTGATGTGAAGATTCCTAACTCTTTCCAAACGTTCAAGTTCTGCTTGTATTTCAGCTTCCTCCTGGAAATGAAAAGAATTAAGTATAAAAGCTCATTTACTCCTCACTTGAAAAGGCTATTTTTACCCCTGCATCAATACTAGTGGTGATGGAGGAACATTACATTACAAAACCATACTGATCTAGAAGAAAGCACTGCTTTTCTCCTAAAGCCTGAAAATCTCAGAGAGATAAGGCAAAAAATATTTTCAAGGAACTTCCTGTTCATGAATCCCCAGGGAATGGGATGTTCACAGTGCTGTTCTGCTCTGTAGGGATGCTATTCAAAATGAGAGGCAGCTGGGTTTTGTACCTCAGCCAAGGAGAGAAATTATCTGGGAAGCAGGCTAAAATCGATGTATGATGAAGAAAAAAATGGAGATATGCACAGTTACAGATTTTGTGCAAACTGGCAGATTAGGAAAAGATGCCTGAAATATTTAGAGGTTGGAGGGTAAACAAAAAACAGAATAAATCATTACAGCAAAAGTGCTCTTAAAGTGCTGATACAGAACACCAAAACAAAGCTAATTTCAAAAGATTTATCCATTTCTATCTTACTAAACTTATAAACATAGAATATGCAGTACCTAAAACCTCAAATGCAATTTCAAAAAATACTATGTTAGCTATGAGGATATTCTCTAACTAATCTTGTCACTTAGAACTATGTCATCTCTATGCTGCATATAAGAAAACATTTAAGTAGTTATCTGTTCAGAATCTCAACAAAAAAAGGGAAAGAAAGCACAAAACCTAATTTATGGACACCAGCACATCTATCCATGTGGTACGCTCATTGAAAGACTCTGTCAAAAGAGCTGCATCTATTTCAGAGTAAGCACCTCTAAAACTTGAAACTTTGAAAGAATGGGAGCCAAAATTAGTCCATAGACGAAATCTAATAATTACAAAAGTACTCTAGCTGAAAAGATGAAAGAAAGCCTGGCATCTGATACGTGATTTTTTGTGTTTGTTTTTTTTGTGTGTGGATTTTTTTCCTCCCCACCAGTGCCCCACATCTTCTTGTTATTTTGGCACAAACTGTTTGTACAGCTACATGGTGAACCGGACTTGAAAAACTGATCAACCTTTTCTTGGAAAGGGAAAAAAAAAAAAAAAAAGGCAAGCAAGCCTTGCCAACATGTGTGTATTTGTTTTTTGATAAAAGATCAGTTTTCTAATCCAATTTGTACTGTAACTGCACAATCTAAAGGCAACAAGTCATGGTACAAGGAGTGGAGGTTGATATCATCATGGGGGAAAAAAAAATGCTTTAAAGTCAGCGTTTCTGAACACTGTACATCATAAATCCCCATTCTGAAACAACACCCGTATTTATATAATCTAGAAACCTATCAAGTAAGTTTAGGAACCCAGACCAAACTATCATAAAATCAAATGATACATAATTTGTTTTTAAGTGGTTAAGTGGTTCTTTTGCATTGTTTTTTTTTCCTGTTTACAGAATTTGGAATTTTTTCATATTTAGATTAATACTTGTAGATCTCCATTAAATACTCTGAAATTATATGCAGTTCCTCATAACCCACAGGTCCTCTAAGAAGAATTCCAATCCTTCTATCTTCCTCAAAAAGGCCACACACTTATACATGTCTGTGTTCTTCCTAAAGGCTGACAAAAAAAGCAACACATCAGTTATACCTCTTTTGGACTTTTTTATTCATATATTATGCAATTCAGTTGTTCTCAAAATGTGGTTCATAGGTCAGTGTTAGTCCGAAGAGAACTGGCTGGTTGCATTGCTTCCAGCTGTTACTTAGGACACTTAGATTGTGAATACCTTTAAGCAAGAGTGAACCAGCTTAGCTCCCTCAGGTCACTGCTGTATAAAAGGAAGTGAGAAAACAAGAGCCTCTCTCCAGGACTAAAGCAGCTAGTTGGAAAAGAATTTCCTGGGGAGCAGAAGGAAGAAGAGAACTGGTGGTGGCAGAACGTACAGGGCATTTAAAGAAAAAAAAAAAAAGAGCTCCAGGAAAGCATCTGGACAGCGAAAAGGAACAGACAGCAAAACAGCATATGCAGAAGGAAAGAATAATAAATGTAATCAGCAGTGATGCACTACAAAAGAAACACAGTAACGTAAAAAGTAGCAAAATTATTTTTCTTAGTTACCAACAAAATCTCCATCATATATGGGAATTAAAATGCAAGAATGTATACTTATTATTACTTTCATATTTATTCAAACATGATTTGCCAAGAAATAGTATTTTTTTTCCCTGTGACATTTAGTCAAGTTTGTTCTTGCATACAGAACCTTAGCAATGATACTCAAGGTCTAAACCAAATCTGGGTATTAAACAAGTTTCTAACAACTTCCTCCAGATATCACTTGCAATTCCCAATAGATATAAAAAAAACAGATAATGCAATCTACAGAATTTCGTAACACAATTTTAAATGAAGCTGTTGCTATTTCTACTGCAACGAAGCGCAAATGAAGTGAACAGAGTCTACCTCACAGAGCCAGCAAGTTTCTATTCAAATTTTCTACTGTAGGTTCAAGTGTTCTCTAGGCATACTCTCCAAAAACAGCACCAGTGTTCTCACAAGGCCTAGCTGGCTTCAAGAAAAAAGCACTGCTAGATTTTTTCAAAAGTCAAAAACTGGAATAATGCACATATAATTTAAGAGACCAGAGAGCTAGGAAATACTCTTTCCTCTCTTGCTATAAACAGTATACAACTAAAGTGGATACGGCAGATTACTCAAACATAGTGTTCATTCAATGTCCCATACCGGACCTTTTTAAAGGTCCAGTACCAACGTAAGAAGTCACATCAAATTTGAATCCATGTTTTCAGCTCTAAAGCAAGACTGGTAGTTGTGGTTACATCACTGTTACAGTGATTCTTTACTGCTCCCTTCTACTCTCAACGTCTATAGCAAGTAAACCCTCTCTTTATTCTGACAATATTAGTTGTGACTGTTAGGGGCACAATTCAACAGTGTTAGAACTACAGAGCATACACATACCTTCTTGAGATGTCCTAATCGAAGTTTGAAGATTTCTTCCTGTTCATGATACTCTGCTAGAGTCAAACTGTTAAAAAAAAAAAAAAATCTTATTTAGTACTCCTATTTAAATGCTACAACACACGTTTTGTTAATTATTTAAAATCACAATATCAAAGCTGTCTTTTTGAACCCTTCGAATCTTCACTTCTGTAATATCAGGGTAAAAACATGCTTTCCAGAGGAGCAAATGTATGTAACAGGGGAAAAAAAAGATAATGGCCTCCACAAGAAATGCTAAAAACACACTAAGTGATGAAAAAACTAATGCTGGATGGCATACACATTTTACTGTCTTGCTTAGATTTGTTATTTGCATTATCCAAAGCTAAGAGCATGACATATTTTTAAGAAGTCCATAATTTACTGAGTTCAATCATCAATAGTCCTGAGAAGGAAAGCAATACAATGTACAGAAAACACTCCAATTCAAGTGAAAAAGAAGCAAACAAACAACACTCATGACTATGTTATGTCCCTATCAATTTTAGAAGGAAGCAATTTCTCTCTTTTTTTTTTTTTTAAAGCAGCATTACACAAACTTACCTTACATTTTTTTTCCTACTGTAATGAATAGCAGCCATCAGAAATCCACAAGCATTCTGAAGGCAAAAAGCGAGAAAATTCACCTCTCTCTTCAAGAAGAAAAGATTCCCTCAGAGACACATTTTGGCACTAAACTTTTACACTTTTTTCCTGACAGAATCTCCTCCGGGAAGGAAGGAGAGGCATTGAAGCAAATGTGAAATGGGATATCTCAATAGGCTAAGAACACTGGCATTGCATTTCCCAAATGACAGCAAGAAACCTGAAACAGTGCTCTAATTCCTGCTCTAATCAAAGATCCATCAAAGACAGCACTAAGGCCAAGTTCGACAACTCACAGCAGCATCTCTGATGCTTTTCTCAGTATTCCTTGAACAGCTAACCGCTCTAATATGGATTAGGCTCTCAAAGAAAAAAAAAAAAAAAAGCAAAGGAAACCAAGGTGAATAAGGTTAAGTATTATTTCCTTCCAGGTTCTTGTCTCCAGTATAAATAGCAGGTTTGTGTATCTATTTCCAGAAATGCAGATTACGTGAAATTTTCAAACAGAAGTATTTTAGGTGGATTAGAAAAGCTGAATCACAAGTAAAACACGCTGAAAATATAAAGTCTGTAACATAAGATACGCCAGAAATTTCTTTGAACACTAAAAGCCCTAAAACCAAAGATGCATGATATTAAGATGATAACGTAGTAATAGTAGGACCATACATGGTCTTCTTTAATTTTAATTAACTCTCAGCTATCTACGCAGTTACAACAAAGTGCTTAGATGGTTCTAATAAGTATTGCCTTCCAAGAAGTACTTAAATAGCTCTCTTCAGTGCGAAGCACAAGTTCAAGGTCGTACTGAAAACATTAAGATTTGAAGTCACTCTTTCCATATGTCTACATTACAACCCAATAAATCACTATTTTCATTTTTCTATTTCCTTACAAATCTAATTCTATTAGAGACACAGCACGATTTAAATCTGTTGTTACTGACTACTATGTTTCAGAAGAAAGCATGTAAAATTCTGAACTGTAAGCAGAGATAGTTGCTTTGGATTTTGTTAGCTTAGTTTTGAAAAACGACTTTTTTTTCCCTCTTACATTCAGAAACATATACTCATTTAAAAAGCACGGAGGTGAAGTGCTGGTTTGTTGGCTTTTTTTAATCTATTAATACACTTTATATTAATGCTCTTGAAACAGTATATAACAAATAGCAAAAGAAGGACAATATGCATACTGCCTGTTTTCTAGCTACACGCCACTGCCCCATTGCAAAGGCCGAAAACATCTAAGCCTAGAGTGCTTCCACCACCTACCTCCTGTGGTCATCACACCTGACAACAGGTGACCTACAAGACACCACTACCTTCTGCAGAAGAGGCTGCTCCTCAGTCACCCAAGACCAAGGCAGGTCTCATCAGATGTGGAGGAGGAAAGACCAACGAGCACACATGGGAGGGACAGTGGTTGGTGGCAGGTTGCCACCATCCAGTAAGGGCACTGCAGTTGGAAAGTTGAGCTTCTGCTTGACAGAAGGAGTGCTGGAGAAAGAGACCAGCTGGGGGTAGGCAGTGTGAATGAATCCGGTAACATTTGGGTCCTGACCATGACCTCTTCCACTCAAAACTACCATGCGATAAATGCTGTGTTTTAACAGTCTGCAGCCAAATTAACATCATACGCATGCAATAAATTCCTGAAATTCCAAAAAAGTACTCCATATATTCTACACATGCATATTTGCACATCTGCAACATTTAGAGCCTTGGTATGCCGTATTTATTTGTCACTATAAGAAAGCAGTCAGCCTTCCAAGCCTGAAAAGCTAGGTATCACAATGTAAGCATTTATTTTATTTTATTGGGGGGGGGGGGGGAAGAGCCTTCCTATAGTTTAACAATGTTCATAGCTGAATTTCTAAGGCTTTGACACAGTATGCATAGGTAACCTTACCAACCTCTGCACTTCCTCCTCACAGGTTAGAACAAAACCTTCATCTGTGATAAAAACATACCTACTAGTGGCCACTGACAAGACAAAAAAAGTCCAAATGGCCACACACTCCTTTGCTGTCATGACAATTAAACCCAGCACATGAACAAAAATCTCTTTTCCCACTGTTTCCCAGATGAAAAATCATCATGGGTACATACATACAGCAGAATGCTGCTATGCCCCAAAACAGCAATTTGCACATCCAATAGAAGCACTTGGGTACAATTTGTGAAGTGCTTTTTTTGGAGGAGGGGTTTCAAACTTATTCAAGTTCCTAGAATTTCTACAAAGATGGGCAGCAAAGCTGACCAATTCAAGATTTCCCTGAAGTCTTTTCACCATGTCCCATTTCTTCCATTGTTTCCATGTCTGCCTCAAAAAGAGACAGCCTCAGGAAAAGAGCTGTTGTCACTCATTCTGTAAAGCCCAAGACACATTGTTGGCACTTCAATCTGAAAAAGTTTCTGAAAATATTTTTGTTTGTTCCATGCAGAACAGAATGCTCTCTCTAAACGATGCATTTGTTCAGCTACATTAACAAACTCTGCCAGCTCTTTATGCTCTCCTATTTCAAATTATGTACAGGGATGAGAATGCATGCAGACTCTCATGGAATAACTGGGCAAGCAGAGAAATCATTGGGTGTTAAATACAACCAATACACCTGAAGGTGGATGGGAAGGACTACACCACCCAAATTACATCAAGTTTTGCCTCCAGAAATAATAGTCTGTTTAAAAAAAACCAGAACACTTTCAAAGCTCTCTAAAGTCATCAAGAATCTGGAATGAACTTTTGGAACACATTTTCCCAGGGCTATGAAAGTTAACTGTATTTTAAATAATATTTCTTCTTCAAAGATATTTCAATATACTACTTTATTTCATTCAGTAAAGAGGGATCTCTCAAAACTAAAACTACTTTTATTTTTGGTTGGAGACCAAAAAAAAAAACAACCTGAATACATGTTGGAAAATCAGGACAGCATTTAAAAAACAAGATGCAGGATGAGCCTAAACACTCCAAATCACCTTTCACTCATTGAGCAATGTCAGATAGCCACTTCTCTATTGGTAACTCCAGTGCCAAGACTTTGCTTTTAAATTGTATCGGAGAACACGTCCTGCTAAAACACAGCAATGCTCTTACTAAAGAATGCCTCAGACAACACCTTAAATTGATTTCAAAACAGTTAACCACTGTTTTCAAAAATAGCTTCAATAACACTGCTTGTTACACAAAGCTGTAGATCATTTTCTCTTGTCAATAGCTGAACTAGAGATAACTTCTAAAGCAAATAATGTTAGCAACATAGGGACACTTGTTGCTAATATGCAGTAGCAAGTTGTTGGCTTGCTTAAAAAAGATTTGCCTAATCACTTGCATGTATGTTGTGTTGATTTATTACTGTTATAGTTCATTAATCTCAGCAGCTCTGCATTTTCCCTGGCCTAATATAAATAGAACATCTTCCATTTGACTGTACTAATTAAGATCATTACTTTTGACATAACACAGGAATGGTGATAAGCACAATGTAACAGGAGGAGATCACACGCAGATTTACACAAAAATGGGAGAGCACAATTAGTAATTGTTTCAGCAAGGTTCAGATCTCAGAAGCAAAGAGGAGTCAACACACAGCACTGCTGTGTAACATCGTAACAAATCCTTAATGTAAACATTTTTAATGCCCTTCAAGTAAAGGCATAAGAGCATGACACAGCTTAATGCTTCTGTAATCTCAGGACATACCAGAAACCTCAGAGGTTTGAAATAACATTAATAAGTTTGTCATAAAAACAAGAAATCTTACATGAAGATGATAATGTGATCAAATTAAGCAAAAGTAGTTTCAATTTGGTAACAGTTTATTAGACACAGAAGGGCAATTCTGATTGTTCTCTGGGCAATTCTGTTACAGCAGGCATTTTCTTGTGCCATTTAACACATTGGTTAAGCTGAATTCAATGAAAACCTGATTCTTTGTTTAGTAATTTGCCTTGGTCTTATTATGAACTAGACCCTACCTTCTGTATTTTTTTTTCCCCAGACTGTACATTTTAATCACCTGCTAAAATAACAACTCAATTAAGAAAATTTAACATGAAGGAAAACAGGATCAAATGCACCTGTCAGGTATACCAATAAACAGCAAGCAGTACTTGCTGGGTTATCAAAATCCATTTAAAAATGTATCTAAATAATCATTTAATCATTCAATCTATATAATCATGTAATCATTTAAATATTATCTATATAACGAGAAGCAGAAAAAGCAGCACAGAATTCCCTGAATAAAGAAAATAAACCAGAAATACAAACTTCCTACTGCCACAATTTCATTATTTATGTTTATTTCTATTTCATAGTTAATACAATGCAATGGACTGTTAAGACATACAGAAAAATAAAGCCATTATTCATGGAAGGATTCTAAAATAAAATTCCTTTGCATATCTGAAATTTTAAAAATGTTCAACTCCTGAAAAGTTAATAATACTATATGAACTTTTGCTGTTAATGTGGAAACTTAATGGTAGCTTCTATAGCAGGAAATATATCCCAAGTACAGTCTGGAGCATTAACACTGGCCCACCAACTATAGAAATACTAATCTCTCTCACTGACATGGGAAACATCTAAAAGAAAGATACCTGTTTTCTTGATTACTGATTAGAGGCTAAGAATTGGCTAGGGTTATATGGACTCAAATGCTCTGAAAATATTGCTTGGATGCCTATTGTATTAATTCTTAGTGTCAACTGAAAAAAAGGCTTTGTCTTCTTTTACTATGGAATATAGACACTGCCATTAAAAGTGGCCATTGTAAAAGGTGGTTATACATTTGCAAATGTAACATGCTGGTTAATTAAAAGTTCTGTAACTTTTCAGATTTTTTCTTTCCTTAAATGTTACTGACATTTATTACATTGAAACAAAAAGGTACTTTTAAAGTGACAGTAAGCTATTGCTATTCATTCAGAAGTATCAATTATGCTCTCAGAGAAGCAGCGGAGGCACTAAGTGTTGCAAAGAATCAATTTGAGTGATCATTCTTGAGCTCTGCCAAAGGACACGAGTAACACTAATCAAGACTTGCTTACACTGTCAGCTTTACTAGTATATTTTCATGGTACTTGTGTCAAAGCCAAACAATTTCACAATGCAGTCTTTAAGAATGACACGCTATGTAAAACATACACACTGCTCTTTGAACTGATGCCCCAAACAAATCATTTTGTAGACTTAACTGAAGGAATTTAGAAGTTCCCTACCCCCAGGGTATAAACGACCTACACAAGTGAGAGGTGACATGTGACAATGTGCAACAAACTCAGCCTCCTTCTGCAAAGAAAAAGGATCCACTTGCTAGTCTTTCTAAACCTACTTACTTACTTTTCATTTAAATGAGGAACAGACAGACCATCAGCTACAGCCTCCCAGCAACAAGGGCAGTAACTACCATATGCAAGCAGAAACTTCTTAAAATGCTCAATTAAATGTCAAGAATATATTTGTCTGTGCCCTGGATTTCTGTCCACAAGAAAATACTGTCACTTGAAAATCTGAGAATTCTTTGATAGCCCTTAATTTTATGTGTAAACTATGAAAAATTTCCAGTGTCAATATGTGAAATGGGATCAGTAACTGCTAACAGTTGCTCTTGAGACCTGCATTCGGAAAAAGAATTTTTCCATTTCTTTTTTTTTAAATACATGTCACCAAATACTAACACTCTTCTTGCCAGATAACAACTGTTAAAAAAAAAAATAATAACTAAAGAAGAGGTTCCCAAGTTAAAGAGGATGAGTAACAGTTCAACAGAAATCAATAACATTTCAAGAACAAGAAATCAGAATAAGAACTCCTCTACATTATGAAACAGAAGGAACACTGCATAAACACAGTACAGACCTTTCTCTGGTGACTCTACCAAAAATAACCTGGGCAACTGTACAGGATCTCATAGGCAGTGGTGAAAATTTCCTTAACATCAGCAAGTCCTCAGTGAGAACACAGCTACTGAATATACTGAATGTCTTTTTATGCTGTTATTTGAATGGAACTCACATAGACAATATCAGAGAATTTATGTAAAAGACTGATTGAAATGTTAAACTTACAGCTGTGGCAAATTGGGTCTAACAAAGGGATCGTTTTCTGCCCCATTCACAGCTTTATTTTTCCTCTGCTTGGGTTCAGAATTGGCAGATGGTGCCTGAGAATTATTTGTAGTTGGTGGCTTTCGCTTGGCCAGGAGCTTTCTTTGCCTTTCAATGTCTTCCCTTTGTTGATTCACCCATTCTTGCTGCCTGTAAACCCCCCAAAAAAGTGTTATTAAAGTTTCATTCTTTTGCATTTTAAAATAACTATGTTTTAAGCCAGTGAAGCATTAAGTTTATATTTTCTTAAACAAATATACTGTACATATAAGAACATTTCTTATGAAAAATAACAATATGATTCTTCAAAGTTTTGGAACAATTTCCTTTTGTGTTTTCTTTTTCTTTTTTTCCCCCCCTTTTCCAAAGGACTCACATTATTTCTGTACTGAAAAAAATAATACGTATCTCAGCTGATGGATATGTTGTTTTATACCATCAAAAGAAATGTAACAAAAGCAATAAAGGAATATCTGATTTTCATAGGCCAAATGCTGAACTTGATCTGACCTTTCTTAAGTAAATCATTGGTTTGATTGTGGGGCGAACAATTACAAACCACATACATAGATTTTTTTTAGACTATCTTAACATCTAGGCAATTACACAAAATGTTAAGACAACACAATCCCGTTCAAAAACCAATGTCTTGGTACATTACATATATAAAGCCACAGACTGACTCAGTCTCATTAACAAAGTACATCTTAAAGATGCACTCCACAATTACCACCATCCCCGACTGTCTCCCAAACTGCTCATTGTTGGCCCCACTTCTACAGAGTGCTGAAATACCTGTTGAAGCAGCAGCTCTTTTCCAGCTGGCCACTTTCTCTCATCCCTTTGGGTTACACTATCTGAGTGTGCCAGATTTGTCTCTCACCTTTCATGGCAACAAGGAGCTGGATGCCTGAAAAAGCTGCTACAAACACAGATGTGCAGAGAGCACCTACGCGACATGACCAGTGAGAGAGTCACAGAACTCATCTGTCCCAATGATCAACACTGATACTTGGTTAGCTGCTTGAAAACATCACTGATATGATTTCACAGCTCTTCCTACAAGCTGAGCTGAATAATCAAAAGCTACTCATTTAGTATATTCACATATGTCTGTAAGGATGGCTAAAATCAAATAAAACCAAATCATTTTTCGAGGACATCCAGCCTCAGTGTTCCCTCAGCTGATTAAGGGAGGCTTGTGCTGTACTCTCAGTATTCAAAAGGCAAAGCAACATATAATGTATGAAAAGCTGCTCCAAACTTAGAATCACGGAAATAAAAAAAAATCCACTAGAGGGAACTAAGTGAGAATTTAAGAACGCTGCATTGACTAACTTTACAAGATTCTGAAATGCAAAGCCATCTGTCCACTGTTCAGTAAATGAAGCACCATGACGAACTGTTGTAAAATGCCCCAGGCGTAATCTGTCTTGCATGCTCTTCTCTCTGCTTGCCAGCTTTTCTTGTGTGCTCTAAGAAAACAAAATATATTCATATTTAGTAATACTAAAGTGTTAGTACTAAAATAAAAAAAACCCAAAAAACCCTTTTATTACCTTACTCCTTTTATTCTAACTTCTGCAGAACACAGATATCTGCGCTTGTCAGAATCAGTGCTGCTGATGAGTTTGACTCAGTTTCCCTATAAAGTTCATTTATGTTCATAATTAAAAGAACATTTGTAAATACAGCAGAATCGATAAACTATCAGCATCGGAAGTATATTATGCAAATTATGTTTGTACACATCTATTATAATAAACAAATCTTAGATGCACTAGGAGTGCATCAGCTCCAGTCAGCTTGGATACTGTTACTACTTGAACCAAAGTGACCAGATTCAGGAACCTCTAGGTGGGACTGAACTGCACACAGACGTAACTCCAATAGATATTAACTTGCAGTAATATGAGCAGGATTATAAGAGAATATTTACTTCCAGATAGAGACCATTAATACAAAGTTTCAGTAGAGACTAATCATGAAGTAAAACCTAAAATGAAGGAACTATAATAGAGTTCTACAGCCCTCCAGAGTTTTTATCACAGGCATTTTGAAAGTAAGCTTACCTTTTCAATTAGAAGCTTCTTGCTCATTGAAATACATTTGTTTAATCTTTCCTTATATTTTTCAAGTAGCTTTTGTTGTTCATCTATTTGTCTTCTAAGATCACAGTTAGCCTAATAGATACAAGAAATATTAGAAGAAATACTGAAACTTTTTTTTCTTTTTAAATCAGATGCCAGTGAAAATAAAGGCATCTACCTTCAACACATGCATCTTTCACATAGCTGAAGCAGGGAACATACATAAATACACACATATAGTAAGAAAATGTTTATATCATTCCTACAGATTAGAATGGATGTGTAAAAGATGTTTTTCTGTTTTAAAAACAGGAATATACTTGAAATAAAATGCATTCAAGAACATCACTTCCTTTACACCAAATTGCATTCTGTATTAGACAGTATTCAGCTCGTATATTTTCTATGTATAAAGATACTGTACTGATATTTTTTTCCAGTCTTCCAGAGCTAAACTGATGTTAATTTAGCTCTGGATCCTTCGTGTTCGATTGCCAAAATAATGCAAAATTCTAATGCTTTTCATATAAAATGAAACTCTTACATTATGGATTTTTAGTGTGAAAAATTTAAATTATCTGAGTAGAAAGTATACCAAGTTTCCTATGTTGCAGTTATCTTTATCAACTTAGAAAAACACATTATTCTGTTTAATTGATTTTTTTTTTTTTAAGGTTAGCTTTCTACCTCATACTGTTGGACATGAGCTGAACCAGGTACCCACAAAGCCTGCAAGCAGAATTTTATATGTATGGTATCATGGATATATACTTGCACACATACAAACACATATAACAGCCTCTGAGTTGTGAATAGAGTGCTTTTTGTTTCTTTAGTATGCAGTTTATTTCACATTCCAAAATACCACCTTTGCAATCCTACACTCAGGGATATAAGCACTAAGAGTCCTTTATCTGAAAATAAGTATTAAAAAAAACAACAGTATAGCATAGGGTAGGTTCTTATTAAAAGCAGTTATCGCCCATGACAGTTTGCTACAATCACCTTCATTCTGAAACTGCAGCCGTCCCACTGACGACTGTTATTCACAATTAAAACAAAACAAAAATCCATTGTGTGAAATTATATTAAGAACATAAGGAATTAACCAAGTGTTTGAAAAACAACATCAGCATTTTGGAAACTCAAGAAGTATAGAAATACGTATTTAGTTATTAACAAGTTGTAATATGGAGAAGAAAAAAGCCTTAAGCATTTATTTTACAGGCTTCTCAGATTTTCAGGAAAAAATAAAAAGAACACTTTTCAATTTTTTATTTATGTAATTCCAGGGTAACATTGAAAAACATTGATTATTCAAGCATTTAAAATATTTGCTGAGGATCCATTGCCTTTTTCTCAATAGTTTTACCGCAGATCTTACACTTACCCTGAGTAAGTCATCTATACGACCTTCTTTCTTTTCCAAGTCTTGATTTTTATTACTTTCTAGTGCAGCTAATTTCAGCATTGTGAGATCAGTCTGAAAAGAACATTTTAAAGTATTTAATACTTTTCTTTAATAATTACAGCATTATTTTTGTCATGTTTGTTACAAAGGGAAATCAACTTATACCAGCAGCACATATTACTTCCATGTATTTTGGTAGTGACACGGAAGTTTCATATTCAAAACTGCTCTTTCCCTTCATTAGGAAGAGCTAGGAACAGCTGGAACAAATCACTAACAACATGAGAAGACTTCATCACTCATGGACAAGTTCACAAGTAAGAATATAAAGCAAGGCAAGAACATAGATGGCAACACCGAGGGCTGCTCCAAAAGTAATGCTCCTGTTTTAGTATACTGGTCCATGACATCAGAGACACATGGTGGTACAGTAGAGGTTGAACCTTCTCAACAGTAGTCTTTTACATTTTGTTGCCATGTAACAGACTGTAGCAGAAGGACACTTTGGCAAAATGGCATAAGACATGGAACTGTGTATGAAATAAAAATGTATCACTGAATTTCATCGTGCAGAAAAAAAATCACATCTGTTAACATTCACTGACACTTCCGGAACATTTATGGAGACCAACAGCAGATGCGAGCACAGTGAAGCAGTGGCTGGTACATTTCATCAGTTCAGACAGCGATGAGAAAGACAAGCCATGTTCTAGACTATCATGCAAATTTTTATGAGCGTGACATACAAGCTGCTGTTCATAGCTGACAAAAATGCAGAGCTAACGGTGCTGACCATGTTGACAAATAGTGTTTGGTAGCTGAGAATTCACTCTACTACGGAGTGTTATTTTTCTCTTCGTATCTGTTGTAATTTCCATGGAAATAAATAGGAGGCATTACTTTCTCGGTGACATACACAACTACTTTAAATCCTGTGTATCTGTCAACAGCCAAGGTAATCTTGTTCTAAGTAACTCGTGAAAAGAAGAACAAATTGCATTAGAAATGGCAGAGATGATGAAACGTGCTATTGGCTTTTAATGCCATGACAGGAACTATACTGCATTTTGACTATCATCTCACTTTTTTTTCTGTTTTGTTTAAGCTATTAAGTTATATGACAAGAGCAGCTGCCATCTCAAGTATTATCTGGAAGAGAAGTCTCTCCTTCTAAGTTCACACAACAGTTAAAATCTTTTGCAGAAGCATACCAAGCACATTGTCTAACTGCTCACAAAGCACAAAATTGGAAGCAGAGTGCAAAACACAAAACTAATTCAAGAGACTGCAATTATGAGCTGCTGAACTTAAAAACAAAAGTTCTTTTGAAGACTAAAATGCAAAGCTTCTGAAATCCTTTAAGAGTTTAATAGTTGGAAACCCAAGAAATAACACATCTACCAGTTTTTCCTACAGTTTGAATTTATATGCTGAAAAGCGCTTACCTGAGTAATTTTAAAAGATAACTGCTTTGGTTGCGTGGTAGGGTGGTCCCCAAAAGCTAATGAAGTAGGAGAAGGACTATTCTGTCGAACCTGGAATGCATGAAAACAAAGAATTTTAGATGTAACTGTAATATTCAATTATGAACATAACCTTGTTTACAACTCTTGGCAGGATAACGATACAGAACATAGAAATACAGTGTCCTAAATACACAAGGTACTATATGGTACGCTGCATTGAGAATTATCACTATGCTGTCATACATAACTTGTATTCTAGAAAGGATGTAATATACACTCTAAGAAAACTAGGACTGTCACTCCCGGGAAACAGATGGAAAGATTTAAGACAATACAAGACTGACACAAGGCAATGCCTGTCTTATAAAGACTTATTTTTCTGATTCTAAGATTTTGCAACTCAAAAAATAATGTGAGTTATTTTTGGAGAGTTTATTTCCCATGGGATAACTTGAAAGGGGAAGCTAGTGCTGATCAGAACACAAATTGTGTTACTGAAACTTCCCAGAAACACTGATTTGTGTGTTAGGCATTGCAGTCCATAAATTTCATTCAAACCCTTATGTGAGGGCCAGAAAATGCTTAGCTTTAGTGCTGACTTGTGAAAGGCTTGATTTTCTCCTAATAAAAACCCAAACAGTAAATGAAGGGGGCTCAGCTGGGTGAACTTGGGACAGAAGAGTCCCAAAAAATGGGGCTAAGCTTCTCCAGACTTGGCTTCATCCAAAGGATGATGGGTTTGGTGGACACCGTGATGTTATAGCGGGCATGGGGGTGATATGTTGATGACTGGACTTCAGGATGGTTGGACTTAGAGGTCTTTTCCAATCTTAACAGTTCTATGAGACAGTATATTCAAGCCAACTTCCACAATCTTTATTACCCTCCATATAGTTAGCAGTATGTTTGAAAGTACACGGAATGAAATTAATGTCCACCATCACAAAAAATAAATCATTTCTGCAACTGGCAGAATCTGTGTGGCCATTAAGAATTACGTGTGTATACCTAATGCAAAAATGAGCATGAGGGGAAAAAAATGAACTTGTGACTAAGAAAAACATTTAGTAACAGGCAAATTATTGTTTAAAAACTTAAGATTTATCAAAAGCTTAGCTTTCAAGTCCTGCATAAGGGGTTCACCTTCCCTGAAAGTAATAAAATACCCACTTATTTTGTGCAAAGGTTTCAAATAAACACCAAAAGAACATTTTAACACGTATAGGTCATTTCACATTGCTTTGTGCTCAAAAATCGTTTTATAAAAAAACCCAACGCAACAGTGTTAAGAATTTACTTGTAGAAAATTTTAGTTTTAAACATTCAACTTGATCCTTTTTCTTCCCCATGCTGTTTAAAAATGAATTCCTTCCTATCGTTCCTTCCTTTGAAAAAGTAGAAAAATATCTGCATAAAGATATTTTTAAGCCATGCTACTTTTAGAGAAGGAAACTCCAGCAGCCATGAAGTTCACAAACTTACAGAAGAAGGGGCGGAATGTGAATTCTGAGGAGATCGGATTGCAGGAGGTACACCTCGAACTGGACTAGAGCCGTTGCCACCTTGGTACTGAAGAGAAGATATGACCCTCAAATTATTCAACTTCTTTAATTAAGATATATCATATAAACACTGAATGACACAGCTCATCCGTACAATGAATACATAATCTAGATTGTATTATTTGGATTACTGAAGCCCTGTGTCACCTGAAGAAAAGTGCAGAAGAAACTGTTTTCTGTCTTTTAGGTCAGGCTGCACCAAGAAACTGAATCTCTTCTTCAAGGTTTAGCACCTAAACTTACATTGAAAATTTTAAAAAAGTATATCATATGAAGAAAGGCTGTACTTTATTCTAATTAGTATTTTCATACACAACTGTAAGAAGGGTAGCCTACTAAAAACAAAGCAAGGCTATGTTGTCACTGCAGAATTTGACAATTAAGGAGTTCACAAGTACACCTAGAATTGCTTGTTAAAAAAAAAAAAAAAAAAAAAAAGTAAATTTAAAGACAAAACCCTTACCTCAAAATAGTCACTAATCTTGTGGCCACGTCCCCCGATACTCTTTCCTGAAATAAATACATTATAATAGATTAAATAGATTACTTATAGATGTGTTACATTTTTACCTGTACAATAATTACTGCAAAATCTTAACACTTGCTAGTTGGTTTTCTTTGATGTGATAATACGTGACCTCCCACCGTTAGATAATTAAGGGATTGTTTACAACAACAAAATCTGCATGTTCCTTCCATTCAGAAATCAGAAATCAACCCATACTTCTAAATCAGATTTAGTTCATGCTTAGCAGTAAGAAAGACCTCTTCTAGATAACAGGAAGCACATCCTTCATTCTGTAGATGAAACCTTTAGCAGCGTCTCCCTTTTACAAGCGTTATCTCCAAATTCACCCACATCTGAAATACCAAATTAACCCATTAATATTATATGCTCCAAGTGAGTTATTCTGCCCAGATGTTCAGCCCAAGGACTTCTCTAAATGCCAGTTAACACTGTGGGTGTGGAAGATGATGAGTACTTCCATTCCTCCCAGCGTAATAATCAGATTTCAAGTCACAGCCTCCACCACAGAGATAAATAGAGCAGAACAAGACAACAGAATTTCTTTTATTTTAACCAGTAACAAGACAAGAGCACCAACTTGAATTCACCTTTCTTTGACAATCCATATGCAGCATTCCAAAAATTTCACCAATGCCTTATCAAATGACATAAATATTCTATTCAGCTTTAAGACAACGTGGACCACTGCTCTAAACTTCAAAACCTCTTCACAGGAATAAATTTTTGTAATAAGTTAGGAGATTATTCCCACTAATCTTTCTGCCATTTTCAGCAAAGCCTTTCAAGCTTTCCTATTGCTTCAACTCTCAAGAATTCTTTGTAGTCAAGCATGTCTCTATACTGGGATTGCTGCATAGTATTCTGTCACCAACACTCTCATGAAGAAAAAGAGACATATGGCAGTCCTCTGTGTGTCAAAGACTTTTAAAAGAAATACTCAGATAACTGAAAGACCTAGAATAGCACACAGATAATTCCTCCAGTACTTACCCCATTTGTACATCACTACTACTGCCCTCTAGCCAGGTCTTTACATACCATGTGATTCTGTTAGATTTGTCTTTTTTGTGCTTGATTCCCACATCTCACTTTATCAAATTAAATCAGTTTTCATCCAGGTAAATTAGAAAGGCTTTTCTTTTAAATAGAAATTCTATTCCACGTCATGTTATGTACTCTGCACAGATGGACTGACAACATCAACTTATTTTGGCAGTCAATTAGAAGTAGATTCACACTGTTTTGATCCCACTCTCTAATTAATTAGCTCCATGTCCTAAAAATATTTCAGTCCAACCTTTCTGGATGATTTTGCTATGGTAGTCAAAATCCTAGGTATGTTGTATACAACAGCTGGATCCCTTGCTCCTCATTTTCCAATAGCAGTATTTGATGTGCTTCAACTATACAACTCCACTACACTCCTGTTTTCTACACTACAGAATATTGCAGCGCAGACTATTCAGTTTACTGCTACTGACAGTAAAACATTAATTATTAGACATTATAATCATGTTGTGTATGCCAAAAAGTTCTTAACTATCTTTATCTTAACTAATCTTTATCTTAACTAATCTTTATTTTCTCTAACTGCAACTCTGTCTTGTAGTAGGAAGGACAAGCTACCAGACCAACGAAAATAGGAAACTTCTCTGAAGCTCTCTGAACAAACCAGGTCTCTTGAGTAAGACAAAGAAAGCCATTCTAGTGAAACCATATAAAACTTCAAGTAGTAGTATGTTGTATCACAAAGACCTCTGGATATGGAGCCTACTGACAGCATCTGAAGTGGCATTTCTTAGCTTAGAAACAAAAAGAATCCAAAGGAGATGTCAATAAAACTAGTTTCTCTTCTCTTTTGATGAATTTTTGCCTTGAAATTTCTATTTCCTCCCTCAAAAAGTCACATTAAAGAGAGAAACAAAAAAAAAAAAACAAAACAAGCTTTGTAAACATTCAATTGAAAGTCTGTCTCACCCCGAGCCTCCCACAGCTCTAGAGCACTACGCTGTATCCACAGTAAGAAAGTATGAAATTCAATTATTTTTAAATATACATGTAAAAAACAAGCACTCAGATATCATAACCAGTAATCCACTTTTCCCCTTACCTACTGAAAAGAAATACAAAACACAAAAGTACTGCTAGTTTTTAAACAGTACACAGAATGCCAACACTGCTGCAAGTTATGCGGAGAGCAATGCACAACTCTTATGGCTGAGTACCAACACAGCCCAGGTTTATTGCCCATCCCTTTGACTGATGGATAAATTTGAGGTAGGGTGAAAAGATTTATGTTTGTTATCCCAAACCCAAGACCTGTCTTACAAGCAATACTACAGAATTTTTAAGCCTGGCAAACGTCAAAAATTTGTGCATTATCATTTAATCAAACGTATATAATAACCATATAATTCATTTACAGTTTACCTTGGCTGCTTTCACTCTGAGTATCTGCTTTTCTTTTTCTTCCTCTGGAAGGTTCTGACTGTTTCTTCTCTGGAGTCTATGAAGAACAGAAAGAATGTGATCCAGCAACAGCTCTATTTCACTTCTATCACAGCTACAGTACTGCGAAATAAGGTGGAATTTTCATTCATAAACTATGACTTCACAAATCAACAGGAATGCTGTTATTTCAGATCTTAGTTGAAGTAGATAACGACTCTTGGTCAATCAAACAAATATAAACTAGAATAGATACTGAAGGAAGTAAGAAATAATTCTTAAATATCTGTCCAAAAGGCAATTATGTATATTAATTGTAAAGCCATTATACCTTTTCATCTGCTTTGGGGTTTATGAACAACCAAATTTATTTGGCCCAGGCTGCATTTCACTCAAGAAATCTTCAGGTTATAGATCTGGTATTTCACAACCTCTTTTATCATTAACGAAATAATCTGACTTTTGATTGAGCTTACTACACACTGCCCCAGAATAAATACAGAATTTTAGTGCTTCAGTATGATGACAATAATGTTCCTAATACCTAAGTATAGTAGTCATCTCTAAGCTAATATAATTTATAGATTTCTAGATTTAGAAAGTTTTTTAAAAGCTCAAAATGTGAACATCTACCCATTCCACCCTCAGTTTCTCCGTATCTCAAATGAAGTCAAATAAAAACATTAATCATAGGTGAAAAAGTATGGACTTAATCAAATTTTTTTCAGGAATATTATAAATCACTGCACTCTCTGATTGTCATTTCTGGGCAACATTGATAACAAGAAAGAGTTTTGATCAGAAGTTCCTTTAAGTTTTATTTGTTCTCCTCTGAACTGAGCATTCAAAACAGATAGTCCCCTTAATGTAAGTTACATTGTACAAGCTACCTTGGTTCAAGGCAAACATGCTGCTTCTGTGCACTTAGTCTGCAAGGGACCTCATGCCAGTTACAAGAGAAATCACAGAAGCAATTACATGAACTCTATTTTACAGCCAAATAATGAGTGGTCCCTAATACCTTGGACTAAATATGACATAGGTAAGAAGATGCTTCATTCTTTTATGATACCAATGCCTTAATCATTTGACCAAGTTTGTCAGTTTGTCTTCAAAGGATTCTTTTTTTCAATACAGTAAATGTAATGATAATTCAAATTTCAACTGATCATTGAAAGAACTTTAAATACATCTTAGTTCCAAAAACTTCACATGGATACCTTCAAACATAAATTTTTTACAAAAACCTGAGAATATTTATTTTGGCAAAGAGGCTACTTGTGATCTACAGAAAATCATCAGCACAGAAGGGGAAAGCCAGGACAGCAAAGCTCAAACTTCCTTAATTTATACTACGTATTTATATTGCAAATATTTATACAACATACTGTTACAACTGTAACTGTTTTACTAACAGGCTACAAATGTAGTTAAATTTACATATATTTATTAAATATTACTTTAAATTAATTCTTCCAACTACAATGCGTATGCTTTACAATCCTACTGTACGCTAGCTGACTGTACAGCGTAGACTCCTGAAAACAAGGTTAGCTAAAAACTACATGATTCTCAAGGCAGAACATGTGGCTTAGATACACTATTTTTATCATTTGCAATATAAATTGTAATTGTATAAATTATATAAATATAAATCACATAAATTGTTAACATTAAGCTATCTCTCCACATAACTGAACTGAATCTATTTAGCCAATCACTTTCATCCTATTCCTTACTTACCTACTTTTAATTTTGCAAATATCCTTCTAATGTAGTTTTACCTACCTTATCGAGCCAAAAACTCCCCAAACCTTGTCTGCAAGCAAATTCATGCTTAACCATTTAAAATTCTCACCCAAGAAACTTAGTTTCCAACTGCAGTGACTCATGCATTCCACTCGAAGACATTTAAAGAGGTTTATAGATTTAAAACTAAAACTAAAATAATCCAAAAGTAAACATCTATTTCATCAAGCTTTTCTGATTTCTTCTAATATCTGATTTAACTTTCTGAGCCGAAAACACTAATGATGTTACCCAGCAAGGTCACACTCACCTTTTCTAAGAACAATATTCACATGGCAGTGTACAATATTCAGACACTAGCAAATGTTCTCCAAAATCCTTTCTAATGAATGAAACCACAGGAATTAAAAGAAGTTGAAGACTAATGGGGCTGAGGAGTAGCCTCCTAGTAAAGACTGAAGCTGCTCTGAGACACTTCAGAAGGATGTACCTACAGCCAAGATTTAGATTAAAATCCCGTTATTTCATAAGCAACATGAAACAGTTCTGAAGTTATCCAAAGTTAACTTTTAAAACTATGTTAAAGTCACCTAGAGCTTGGCATATCAGCAGAACTCTGCACATCACAACCTTGATCCTCGTTTACTTTTTAATTTTAATGAGGTTCCTCTGAGCCTTCTCCTCATACTCATAGTTTTAATTCCTGGATTTTAACATACTCTTTAATGAAATAAACATTTGTAAGTACCAACTCTCAACTAATTAATCTCCTTTTAACGATACTCAGATAAATATTTCTATATACTTTATGTGCAGCTAAACATTTTCTACCATTATTGCAGAACTGTTAACAATAGAACTCAGGAAGTAATTTTTGTAGGGAAAAAAAAAATGTAATAAAATGAATTTTGTTTTGTCTCAACACTTAAACCTCCAGTATGCTTTCTTGGCTGTTAATGTTTTTCATTTGCACAATGAATGAGTTGATAGTTTTGCATAAGTGCTTTTCTCTAAATCCTATCCCTTCCAAAGCTTTACAGCTACAGCAAACAAATACAGCGACGCTGTTTTCCTCAGCAGCGCATTATAAATTCCAATTAGATCAAACCTTCAGTTACTTCTGAAATTACATTTATAATGAGGGTTTTGTATTAATGGGAACTGAAGCAACTCAACAGCTACAAGCAAGCAGAGCAAAACATTTAAGTAGCTAATCAAACTGGACAAATCAAGCCACAGACAAAGCTTTTCTCCTTTAAATAATTCATTATCCACAGAGAATAGAAAATACTAGTTGTAATTAAAAGAATATATTTGTAACCAAAACAAGGAGGAGCAATCCACTTGAACAAGGGATGGTGGAAGAAGGCCAAAATACTGAAAACCTATCAGAAGCACCTATTCACAGACTGAGGTAGCCAATTCAGCTTAACTACAAGCAGCTAATACGTACTCAAATTATGCTCCACAGCAATAAAACATTTCATAAAATAGTAACAACATATAAGCTTAAAAAGAAGCTGAAACACAGGTCTAGATATTAAGTTCAAATTGCCAGTTAACATTTATTGCTTGCAATGCTTGTTTCAAGTTATTCTGCAGATCCAAGTTTAATTTGTAAAGTATCTCTTCAAACTATTATTCAATTATGCTGCCCTCTTCTTGGTGCATCTGGCAGAGAAAAAAAAAGACTACAATTCTTATAGTTGTATTTGCTGAGATGCACTGTGAAAGCAAAAATGAAATATAAAATAAAAAACAAAAATGGTTTTGGGGGAAGCTTGCCCTGTTTTGAAAACTAAGTGAGAATGACATTTTTTTCTTCCTAATTTAGCAATGAAAAACCCAGTATGATTAACGCACCACTACAATGTGCTAAGAAACTGAGATTGTTGCTACAAATCCATTTCAATGATTTTGAGAATTGCATTCCTACTTTTTTTTTCTTTTGATACCTGCTTACCATACAGCAGCTTTTTCTCACAACATCAAAATATGCTGCTGCTTTCCTTATGAATAAGTCTTTGCACTTCTATTCTACATTCTACTACAGAAATTCCCTATTATGAAAATTTAAATGTCAAACTATTAAAAAAAAAAAGAGAGAGAGAAAGAGAGAAAGATCTTGTTTCTAGTACTATGATTTAAAGTGTACTTCCTGTAAGATTACAGCATATAAGAAACCAGATAATATTTTAAGAACTAAACTCTGAAAACTTATTAACATACTTGGCATTACAATTATAATTTAATTTCAGCAAATACAACTGCCAACTTCTGAATATGGGTCAAGCAACCATATTTCATTATTCAATGTCATTAAGATTGAACTTTCAGAAAACAGAAGAAACCTGGAACACTGAATTGCTCTGTGTAGGGACCATTTAAAAAATGGAAGCATTTCTATTTTAGAATCCAAGTAACAGAATATATATATTATCCCTATCCAGAAACATGGCTTGAGGTTAAAACACGTGCAGAGACTGAAGAATTGGAGCGAACTATCAGATTTACATGCCTTAGAAAAACCATCCTGCTTCTGCATCTCATGTGTCCAAGTGTAACATGACATTCTTCTACACCAAATATTACAGGCATATTTTCAAAGACACAGTTAAACATTAATCAACATTTGTGTTGATGAAAGCCTTACTGTTTATTAGAAAAAAGTTAAGAAATTATTTAAACATTTTCAACTGTTTTTCCTCATGGCATGACTATATAGGTAATGCCTATAGTCCGGAAGAATATGAAGAAAGATAGTAAATAAAAGCTAGTCTCATGACCAGAAAAACCCCAAAGAATGGGACATAGTCATGTATGCTTTCTCTTATTTAGCTTTTTTGTATTTTGCTTTAAAAGCTCCTACATAAAGCAAAGCAGAGTAGAAAATAAATTATGACATGCTAGCATTGAAGCTTTGAGGTATTAATGAATCTGCCTAGCATACTTACCTCTGATTCTTTATCACTTAAAGATCCCAAGCTTCCAAAACTGTGGTTCGAACTTTCATTATTTGTTGAGGCCTAGCAAGACAAATACAATAGTTATGTATTACGAACAGATCTGTTAAGTACCTCACTGTTGTTAAGTATTACATATAAATAGTAGGGCATTACTATCACAGTTGTAACTATTAACAATGATCAAATTTTATGCCGACGAACTATGGATTCCCTGTGATTTGCAATGGGGATAAGAAATTTGACGGTTATGTGTTTTGATGTAGTGCAATCAATTCTGTATTTTAATTTCTTCTGAGACAAGCAAAGCCTTGGAACATTCAAAATCTTATTTGCGAATAGCAAAAGATCCAAGGAAGAGCCTTATAAGGTGATTCTACAGAATGGACTTATACATTCTATATTGCTCAAAGTGTTAGAGACTTAACAATTTTCAAAAGAGGCTCTTACTTTCTCTTAAGTCAGACACTAGGCTATTGCAATTGTTTTTAAAATTCATTCAACAAAAGAAAAGAACGACTTATTGACAATATTACTGTATATTCTTACAACAAATCACATCCCCCAGAACAACAAATTCAGACTACTGGAGAGGAAAAAAAAAAAGAAGAAAAAAAAGGAAACTCTAATAGTTTCAAATTATAATATTTCTATAGAAATGTTCCACAGCTGATTTTTTCAGAGATCTTTTGAACAGAGAGTGGCAACAAGGACATTTTATTGAAAGAGTCTGCTCCATTCACACAAGAAGTGTTAACATGAGGTTTGTTTTTTGTTTTTTGGTTTAATTAAAAGAAAAATTTTGTACTGCTGAATTATTCTCTTCTCCAATAGAAAGGCAGAACAAACGCTCTGAAGGAAAGCAACAACTTAAGGCAAATACTTGCTTCAAAGCATTCAATTCCAGCATTGCATCAGCTTACAATACAGATCTGTGACATCTCCTGGAATAACTAGATCACGTCTGAATTAAGATTTCTAGAGAAATGCAATTAAACCCACAAAATTTCAACGTGTGTTTTCCCCCAAAATAGTTTCTGGTTTAAAAATGCCTTGTTGTGCCTTGTGACTCTTCAGTAGGTCGTCATCGGGGTCAGAACAATAATCTCAGTAATCTACACTCATGTATTCACTACTGCTTACTGAAAAAGCTTGAAGATGCTGGACTTTACCTCCTCCACAGCTGAAGAACAATTCAGCATATAGGCCTTCCAAATAATAATCTCAATAAACAAGACTCCATTTCAATTTAATTACTAGAAGAATAAAGTCCTAGCATGTTTTCGAAAAATAATCTGCATGCATCTGTGTGCTGCAGCCTCTGCACTGTCTTGCTAGATTATGAAAATGAGAATTCAGTGAGTGGAATCAGGTATGTATGCGAAGAGGTATTCTCATTTTTGCCTTCCAAGTACATCTCCTTCTTCCAGTTACCTCTGGGCATCAGATCAAAAAGCTTGTGTCATTTTTTAAATAAAAATCAGATAAGCTTCTCATAATGTCCACCAACAAGACTACAGACTATATAAAAAAATAAATTAAAAAAAAAATAAAATTCCAAGCAGCCCAGATACACTGAGTGGTAAGAAATGAGTTCAAGATATAAAAGAAAAACCAACAAAACTGACAGAATTGCCACTTCACTAATGGTGGGATAAACTGCAGTTGATATTGGTATTCCCCTCCATATTCCCATAAGCAGGGAAATAAACATATATTGCAAGGTGCATTGCAGATCATTTGTAGAGTATATCTAGTCAAGTTAAGAAGAACAAAATCTGCTAGGTGAGGATTTGCATCCATCTGAAAACTACAGTGATAGTGGTATCTTTTACAAGCAACTATCAAAGCATTTAGTAGTATTAAAAAACTTTATCTAGCTATCCATTTGCAAAACAATTGGATGAGATTCATCTATCTTTTCAAATAGTTCTAGGACTGTGCCAAGGACTAGAAATTTGTGTTTCATATAGTAGAGAGAAAAAGGAAATTAGCTGGCTTTTTTTTGTTCTTGTTGGTTTTGGCTTTTTTTTGCTGTTGTTGCTTTTCCCTAGCTAACGACCTCAGAAAGTGGAACGTAATTTAGGTAAAAATGAAATCAGTTGAACAACAAGCAACTAAAAAAAGTCTTGGAGAGATTTATTGGATTGATGAGAAGCAACTCACAGGGAGTTAAGTTTAAAGAAAGAGAACCCCAAGAAACTTGATAATTGATTTCAAATAAAATGCATTAAACACAGTAGTAGACAGATTCTGAGGAAGAAAGACTGACAATACTACAACGAACCAAAAAAGCTGTATAAAAAATAATAGAAGAAAAATTACATGAACTCAAAAGAAGGGAGAGCTAGTCATTAAAAAGGACAAAAAGTCATCTGAATTTTAAGTAATTACTTGAGCAATTATAATGAGTTAATAAATTAGGAAGTAAGTTGTTACAGGAAAGTAACAAAAATGAACCAGAATTACTGACTTTTCCCTCAATCTTCTTTTAATTACAAGAGTAAAGCATACATCTTTTGTAGGCACACTTCAAAGACAACTAAATAAGAAGAGAAGACAGCAGTGCATCAGTTACATTGTACCAATTCAATCTGATTTCCTTCATCAACCTCTGCTATCAGGTAGTATTCTACTGTGTAATACAGACTGGTAATAAAAACATCAAACATTAAAGGGAAAGTGCTAATAAAGCTTGCACAGAAATTTTAAAATAAAAGAGCATTACACAGAGCTTGGAAACCGAATTCCCAAATATTTTAGCAATGAGTGAAATCAGATTAAGAATTAGTAAAGATGTTAAAAAATAACTAAATTTATTTGGTGAAGTACTTCCAAATACTCAAAACCAAAATGGAGTATCATCTAGGCAACAGTACTGCAGAAATTAGTCTTGGAAACTGACATAAACTTGAATGGGATTTGTAATAAAAGCAAACTTATTTGGTAAATATATTAACTAAAGGTTAATATACAATATATAGAAGGTAATTAAGCCATAGTAGTTGACGTTCATAAGGTCTTCCCTGAACTGCTGCATCTTGGTTTTGATACTAGAGGACAGACTGCACAAATTCTACAATCAAAATACATAAAATTGATGTAGGCGTCTCAAAAAGTTGAAATAATTGGGTTTTGCTAATACAGATAAAAAATGTTCAAACAAGAAAACAATTAATTTTGAAAACAGAGGTCCGTGTGTCTATCTCAAGCATTAGTTAAGTAGTTGGCTATCTACAGAAGGAATAGCTCCTTTTAAATACTGGGAATAACTTTCAGTGCTGATCACATGAACACAAAACCACAAAAGAGCCTGTATAATACTATACTTCAGGGTTTTTAAGAACAATTAAACATGTGAATGGTTCAGGATAAAGAAGTCTATCTCAAATCAAAATAAGTGACTAATAATAATTTTCTTGAGACTCTCTTCCATTCCAATCCTTTACCAGTAAATAGCACAGGCAATGTAAAATAGACAATACAAAATACTGTTTCAAAAATGGAAGATCTGGATAACTGTTCTTAGTACTTACTTTAGCTCCAACACTGCAACTTCCAGTACTCCCAGTGCTGCCACTTACTACTCCTGTAAATCTTGCCTCTAACAATTCTTGTCTTCTTGGGTCCAGGCTATGAAGCTCATCCATTGCTCCTAAACAAACAAATAAATAAATTCATTATATTCTCTAAATTACAGTAGAATATTTTACAAGTAAACCAAATATGCCACTGATCTACACACAAAAAAAAGAAAGAAAAATCTGTACTCTCAAACTGTCAACATTTCACCATCTGTTATTTAATAACAAATTAACACTAATTCTAGACATTTTGAGGAAACTTCCCTGTATCAGAATACCCCTGTCAGTTCTAGAGAAAACTAAAATCTATTAGAGGCACGTAAGAGTCATGGAGCCTACAGCGTATGATACACGAACCAGTTGATTATTAATAGATAAAAAAACAAGCAATGGGAGCAAAACACTCTTCAGCATAAAACCTTCAATTCAGCAAGGCTCTTGTTCTCAGTATTATTTCAATTATTTAAGATATCAACATATTGATATGCTAGACAAGTAAAAATCATAGGAAAAATGAAAATGAGGTCATGGGCTATAGTAAACATCATGTAAAAGGGAATACAGTATTACTGGAAGGGCAAAGAATCAAGAAACAGGATCAGCTATATGAAAGGAGCCAGGAGTAGCAGAGTCCTTTGCACAGGTGGTGCCTCCTACAGACAGGGGGTAAAGCAACGCCCCTGGCATCAGCAGAAGAAAGAAGGTGGAGGGGAATGGATGAACAAAAGGAGTTTCTGATGCACCCAGATGAGCTCAGCAGTTCAGCTACAATAGTAGACTGCAGCCTGATGTGTAGCCTTCTTATTTGTATTTAAATCACTTACGACTCTTTAATCAGTCTCAAAGATCATCTAGACAAACACCCTTCTGTATTTAAACAAATTGTGTTCTTTGTTTTTATCTCTTCAACTACTCGAACATTCAATTTATCTCCAAATTGGAAACAGTTCAGTTGCTTTATCTTAAATAAGTTATTTAATACCAAAGTCCTTATGCACTATTTAAAAGACATATCCCTCAAGCACCATGCAAAATGATACAGCCTCATTTTTTCAACTAAGATACAGCATATCAAGCCTGTACTTTTCAGTCACACAGGACAACATACATTGTCAGAAAAGTAGTTCTGTAAGGACAGGAAGTAATATTGATGTATATTCCAGTGATACTATTAAAAAAAAAACAGGTTTGAATTTTCTTTTCATGAAAACTAGTTTGCAATATTTGAGTGTCCGTATGGACTTTCACCAAGTATCTTTCGCCCAGTATCCTGACAAGCAAGGCATCAGCAGAGCTCTACTCACTGTTAACAGAACACAAGAGGCAGATTATTACGACCCCTGGCTATCTCAGCAACCTCTGGCATTCAAAAACCAGATAGACCTACCACCCTCTACACACTGGCTACTGCAAGCCATGCAGCTCAGACTCCTGGCATGGAAAGTCCTGCCTCAGTCACTCTGTTAATTCAAGCTGCTTGAGTCTTAGCAGCAGTGTATGCCTTGCTCCAGTGGGAAGGCCAGTGGCAGGAATGAGAGTACCAGCACTCCTTCACACCAGGCAAAGAACAGTCAGAAAGGAGACATGTGGAAAACTTGCTGGTAGAATCTTCCTTTGACAAAACCGAGGCACAAGTGGCTGGCACAGCACGCCAGGTTCTGGTTCGTGAAGTGGGGAGCCCCATAGGGAGCTGGAGGCCTTTTCCAACACTGCAAGAATGCAGGACTGGTTTCAAATTGCAGTTGGCTTATCATCTGCAGTCATAACACTGCTCCTGAAATGGGCCAGCAGAAGTTCCTCTAATTTCCATGTGTTTTAGACTAAACTCTCAGGGGAAATGATTGCCTTACTATGTGCACACACGGTGCCAAACATTCAGGAATACTCTTTAAAATTCTTGCTTTCCATAATCTTCTTGTGCACTGCTTCCAATGTTTTCAGAAACAAAGTGCACACTTCCTCGTTTACACAAAAATACTCCTCAAATTTACACACTGGGCAATTAGGCCTTTCTTAAAGCAGATCTATACACCATATCCTTGCTACCACGTACATAATATATACCTCAATGGGGAAGTACTCTTTAGTAAGAGCGTAAGAAACTGAACAAGTTCAAGTGGCCATTGTCTCACTTCGTAACAGTAGAAGTGTTCAAGTGTTGGCCATTCTGAAACAATCAATTTTAGCATGAAGCAATCCACTTACTGAAGCAGGACTAGCAATACTCAATATTCCTACTTGCTAACCACTGCCCGTAACAGTTCAGAGCTTACCTAAATTTACCAATGTAAGTCGAGCATACCACACGCATACTGCAGAAACGGATACTACAATACCCAGTATTGCTTATTTTAGGAAACATGGGGAAGCAAGAATCCCTATGGATAGTTAAGGCTCACTGGAAATGGTACAGGGTACAACTGGTACACAGGTTTTGGTATCGTTTATTTATTATGTGCCTAAATACTACTGCACTGAAGAGATCAACACTCCTGGGCCACTCTACCCGTTAGGAGAGTAATTGAGCGGGCAGGTGGGTATTTCCCCACACAGATGAAGTACGACTTTTCATTTTTTTCTGTTCCATTTTTGAAGTCCACACATGCTAATGAATGCACTATATTCTCTTCATTATCACTGCTGCAGTTTCACTTTTCTTTTGCATTTTAATGTCCAGAACCACAGAGCACCACACAATGAACACGTACACTCCATCATCCATGTGATAAGAAGGACAAGTCAGGAAAGCTGAAGTCAAGCTTTCTCTCAACACAAAGCAAATCCTAGACGTCTACCAAACTGCCTCCCTCAGTTAAGACAGACTTCCACATGCAGCTGTTTTTTCAAGAAAATAACGTTCTCTGTATTTCTTCAGCTCACAGCCCTAGTGTATGGGAACCATTGAGTCACCACCTGAAGCACTGATTGAGCACCTGGGGAAACGACCTGGTCAGGCCAAGGAGCACAAGTGAAGGCAATTCAGCTGTGTGACCAGAAGGGGTGGAGCCTGGCTGCACTTCTCTTAGGCCTCATTTAAGGGCTGACTGCCACTAGGAAAGGATTTCTTTCTGGAGGTCCCTCCTTGTTAGAGCTTTCCCCTACAAATCTAGAATCTTCTGATACAGGTAAGCAATCTTTTCCCCTTCCCTTATAGCACTTTGCTATCATGCTCCTTCTGTCATTACACCTCTGGTGAAACACCTTTTTCCATCATATTAATCTGTCCAATTGCTCCACCAAGGCTCCTGCTTTTAAAGGCAACTTCAGAGTGCTAACGGTGCAGGACAAAGACTATTTTTTTTTTTTTTAAATAAACATCAGATTTTATAAATTCAATTGCTGTTCACAAGATAAACTAAATTTACAGTTTTAAAAATACACTCCGACTAGCTGAGCTAGTTTCATTCCTATTACAGAAATTCAATTCACCAATTCAAAGGGCATGCAATCACATCATAGAAGTGCTTCACTGAGGCACATTTATGATGCTAAATGAAGAAATGGCACTGCTACAAACGTTGCCATTTAGGCATCCACTACCTTTCACAGAAAATGTCTCTGAGATTACCCGATCCTCACTATGAGCTCTAAAAACTTACTTTTCTTGTAACCACTCTACAAAGCCTCTTTTTTTCATTTCTAAAAATTAAAATAACCAACACTACGTAGCTGCTGTATTTTCTTTTATTTTGGTGGGGGTGGCAGAACCATCTGAGTTTATCTTTCAGAACTGCACACAGTCTCTAACACAAAAGTCCCAGCACGTTATCCTGCAAAGGATGTAGGAGTGAAACTTCTGAGAATTTGTTTTACAAGGGGTTATATAAAAAGTTCTAAATTCAGAGAAATAACTTACAGGGTTTTTCTCAGGGCATTCAGTATCCTCAGTCATACTGTATTTCTACCTTATCAAAACAGGTGTGTAAGGAATCAGAGAATTCTCCATAGTCATTTGAATTGTTTGGTGAGCAGAAAACAATGAAGTGCAACAACACTTGTAAACCAGCCCTCGTGTAGCAGAGCGCTGGCTGCTGTCTTAGCCTCCTGTAAACAGAACCTTTTGGGACACATGCATGCTGTGATCTCCACCTTGAACAGTGCTAGATTACAGAGCTGCACACTCAAAGGTCTTGACAGATCAGACATGTTTTTTACTAAGTATGGAATCGAGCCCCAAGCTTCAATCTTTATTTTCAACTCTCTTGTTACTCTGAGTGCAGTTTTGTTAGCTGGCAGTCAGTTACAGTTTCCAGATGAAGAAAGATCAACAGCTTCACACATTGTCAGTTTTCAATGATGAAGATAAAGTTCACTATGCAGAAGCCAGATTCTTCTGAGAGCAACCTTCATGATCAGGCTGAGGTCTGCTCCCCCGAATTCAGAGACAGCACTGACCGCCTTTCGCTTAGGTGAAAGGTACAGCGGTTTGGTTGAGTTCCTTCAGCAGACCTCTACACATATAGCTTTATAGTTTAACTGCACAACAAAATACTTCAACACAAAGCCTTATCTACTTAATGCTAGTGGTGGCAATGGTGATGAGGAGACAGTTGGACTAGATGATCTTGTAGGTCGTTTCCAACCTTGTGATTCTATGATTCTGTTGAAGACCAGAGCTCAACAATTAACCGAAATGTAAACAGAATATCTTAATATGCTCCAAGTAGACACTGAAGTGTTATGGGAATACATGTGGTATGTGGTGTGAGAACTACACTTTTTTTTTTTAAACACATCACATTAATACTGATTATATTACCAGCACATATTCTCTTCACTGACAGAAGCATGCTTTTGATCAGTAAATCTATATAATATCAATTTAAAAGGAAGTGGAAAACAAGAAAGGTTCAATTTCAAATGGTGAGAATAATAGTCTGGGAAGCAGGCTTTTGATTTAAAAAAAAAAAAAAAAAAATTCCTATAGATGTATCAAACAATCTCTTAAAGCTATGAACAGCAAGCTTCCTGTATAGAAGGCATCAGTTAACAGAACTGCCTTGCAATTCTGAAAGGCTTTAAGTTAACTATTTTAGTTTGGAGCATCCCAAAAATGTATTTAACCTACTGT